ACTGTTTGCGATGCGGTGGTGACGGCGTGTGGGGGTTCTAGCGTCTGTGCCGATGTCTATCGCGCGGCAGGGATGTGCGCAACTAGATTGTCGTAGTGGACGTTCGTCGGCCCGTGGCTTGCCTGCTGCTGTCGGTGTCTTTGGCGTCGATGGCACACTTGAACCGACCTCGATGGCGTCGGCGTTACTCGCGAAAAAAGCGAATTCAGTGCGAGAGTTTAACGACTTTGATTGGCTAAAAGAGTTGTAAACGGGCATTATGATTGGCCAAATCTGTGTAACCGTCATGTCGTGAAACCGATTTGATCGCATGTCGTGGACGTTCGCCGACGGACCCGCTCGTGCGGCGCTGCGCTCATTTCCGCGTCTTGACAGTGTGAAGTGGGAACTTGGCGAACGCGTCCTTCTAGCGCCCCGCGTCCTTCCCTGCACAGAGCTCATGATGGCTCCAGTGGCGATGCCACCCAACGTGCATTCGCAGCATCCCTCGACACGAAGCTGCAAGACACAAATTCCAGGACGAACGGCACAGACAATATGGGCGCATGTAGTGCTAAATAGAGTGGATACATGTTCATGGCATCATGGACTCGACGACGTTGCCTTCATTCGGACGAGAATTCGACGTTCTGCTTGAGGTTCGAGTTGTAGTACAGGTAGTGATGAAAGCGAAAGTACGCCAGGAGCTCCACCATCCCAACATTTCCCTGCGTGTGGCACTCGCGGCCGCGATGGCCAAATTGCGAGCAGACGCTACATCGGTGCTCGCCGGTCGAGTGGCCCTTGTTCCCGCACAATGCACAACCTTCCTTCCAGTGAGGGCAGCCGCTGCCTCGGTGGTCGCCACGTCGCGTGCAGTATCGGCATCGATGTTGCTCCGACTGATGGTCTGTCCGATGGCAAAACTTGCATCTACGAGCAGCGTCTTCGAGTTAACATTCTCTCCACGTGCGCCACAAAATCTGGCGGAGCACTTGCAACGGCACACGTTTTTTCTCACGTACTGAGCCACGCTGTGGGTCGCTTTGGTCTTGGCAGCTTTCTCCAGCAGCTTGTCCATCGCTCGTGTGACGGGCAGTACCGAAAAGGCCGACGGCGTCCGCCGGTTGATTCCGTCCTCCTTCAAAAATACCTTGAGCATCGCGTCCGCGTACCCCTCCGACGTCGGCGGATAAGCATGGACCGTGTCGAGTGGATGCATCACGTTCAAGAGCTGATCGCCGCCGTAGAGGATCTTCATGCGGGCAGCAAACCCGGCGTCGCCGACGCGCGGAGTGCCGAAGAAAACCCCATGGATCTTTTTCATGAACGTCGCTGGGACCTGCGGGAATGCCAAGTCGCCCAACTTGAGCAAAAACAACTGGCCTACAACAAGTCAATGTAATGTCCAGCACGACCATTCAGGCAGGAATGGAATGGCAAGGTCGGCAGGTGGTGTAGCACGGGTTCGAGCCTTACCGAGCATGCCCCCCATCGAGTACCCCGTGACGTCGATCGTGTAGCCCGCTTTGACGTACGGCAGCACAGCGTCGAGAATGCCGTCTTCGACCATGTCATCGAAGTAGACTTTGATCGCTTTGTGCACACGCACTGAAGCGGCGACGGACCACGCCACCTCCTCTGACGGATCGACCTCAAACGAATCGGTTTTTCTGCGACGGCGCGAGCTATGCCGCACCAATTCCGCTTCCTACAACGCATCTCCTCGAGCCACTTCACGACGAATAAACGATCCTGCGTACTTGAGACGTCATGGTGTTGGACCGCTCCAGCGGCGCGTGGCACTGCGCCATCGCCTTTGCTTGACGCAAGTCTTCAATATCATTCAATCCATCCATCTCCATGAGCCCGCGGTTAAAGTTGACCGCCACCATGTTCTCAAACGATTGTCGAATGCGAGTTTGCTCGCCTTCCGACCACGCCGTTCCGAGCTTCGAGTAAATGTACCCCAACATCGCATGCGCATGGGAGTAGTCGCCTGCGCAACGATTCCGTCAGCGTCAACCGTGGCACAGAGCCATCGTCCACGTGCACGTCCTTTCAAAACAAATCTCCATCCGGTACGTCCACACTCATCCAACACACACCCCGTCGCCCAAGACAACATCGCACGACGCCATCATGCACATGGAACGAGACCGCGCAAAGTACCTCCAACCGTGGCCGTGACTCCTTGGGCCAGCCCATACAGCGCCGACGAGAGTGTGACGTGGCCGATCTGCTCCTTGAAGTCGGCGATTTCATGCTCATCCCATCCGTTCCACAGGTCGCCCCAAAGGCTTCGAATTGTCTCGGGGTTGCCAGCTGGACTGAATGCCACCATAATCTCTTTGACCGAGTCGTCGCAATCGGCCACGCGCTTCCACACGTGGGCGCGGGCACAGTGGCTTTTGTTCTGGAAGATCGCGTCGAGTTCGTACACTGGACTTGTGCTCCCAGTCTGTTTCGGACTTGTGGCGCTTGCCGACGGTCGGTGCCGGTCCGTACGAATACGAATGCCGCGCTTGAACGGGACGTTCTTGTTACCCATGGCGTCTTCGTTCAGCGTGTCGTTCTCCTTCATCATGGAGAACTTGGCCGTGAGCAGGAGAAGCGCCTTGCCTTGCTTGAGAATCTGCCGCCGAGTCGACCACGCGCGGTGCATTTCGACTAACATCGCGGCGCAGACGACCTCGAGCTCGACGCCGCCGTCGTGCGGGCTCACGACAAATTCTTCTTGCGCCGAAATGAGCGCCAACTCGTTGGGCAGCATCGGAGAATCGGCGACAACGATGTCGACGCCCCACCGTTCGATCGCGCGAAATGCTGCCGACTGCATGCGTCCTTTGTCCGCAACCGACTTGAGCGTCACCAGACACGCTTTCGGCGCGTACTCCCGTCGAATCTTTGCAATCAGGTTGGGAATACGCACAAGGTTGAGTGTCATCGCGGATTCCTTCTTGGACGAGTCGGTCGGTGCAGGCGGAGGAGACGTTGTGGTGCTCGTGGAAACACCGCCAACGGCGGTAGTACTCGGGACAGATGGCACGTAGTAGTCTAAGATAGACGCAGACAGGAGAATAAGCCCGCGAGACGCCGCAGAGTCGAGGGCTGTCGTTGCCATGCGGAGGTAAAACAAGTACTGCTGAACCGTCGTGAACGTGATGTGCATGAGTCGCGACTTGGTCTCGTTGGCTTCGGCGAGGAGTGTCGAGAGGTCGGGAATGAGACTTTCGGTGTCGTCGGCGTCTTCGGGAGGATCAACGTGCAGTGAGTTGTCGGCAGCGTCGACGCGTAACATGGACAAGAACCGGTTGTCTCGAATGTATAATTGAAAGTGCCGCGAAAACGGAGCTAGGGATCCTTCTCGATGGAGAAAGATCACGGCGTACCCCGCGCGGAGAAAGTGTTCCGCACTAGCGGCACCGCGATCTCCAAACGACACGGCATCCATCACGCTGTCGCCTGGTAGCGGCACCGTCGCGGATCCGCATGTCACGAGGGCGATGCGGCGGCCATCTGTGAGTTGAGTCGTGACAAACTGTTTCAACTTGTCGGGCCATACGTCCATCGCCCACGACGGTTCCACGACCGTGTTGTCAAAGAACTTGTTCACGTAAGCATCCGAGTCCGCCGGGACCGCGCCTCCACCCAGCGTCTTCTGCAGCGTGCCCCAGAACTCCATCTTCCTCTCAATGTTCCGTTGCGCTGAATACGAAATGTGCTCACGTTTCGTATCTGGCTGGTTCAAAACGCATTTGATTGGCTGATTACCAGCCAATCCCATCGCGTTCTCGGCGCCACACGCGGACGACGTCAACACAACCACCCGCGAGCAACGGGTGACTCCATTCTCGCGTTGCTGCTGCATCTCCCGCCGCGAGTGCTGCTGTGTACGCGGCGCATGCATATTGGCCACATTTCTTTGCTTTTGCAAGGAGGAAAAACTGGGCTCGGTTGTGGGGTTGCTGAAACAACGATGTGCCTGTTGCGTGTACCCCCAGCGCGTCCGGGAAGATATGCCGATGTGCCGTCAAGGTGACGCATGCACCCCTTCCAGTTTAGAAACGAAGAGACGTGGTCAACTCGCGGGGATGGGACCGACATGCCATGCCTTGACACCCCGCCACAAGGTCATGTGGGATGGTCGTGACATGGAAGGAGCCGCTGCCGCGGGTCGCAAGTGTCCCGTGCCCACCGTCGGGAAGGGTGTTCGCCGATGGCGATGAGTTTAGCCAGTGTCCATGGGATATCCGCGTCATATAGTTCTTGCTGGTTCATCGAAGGGCGCGGTGGACGTCAACGAGCAGGCACGCTAGACCTGGATTGTGTGCTTGCGATGGTTACACCAAAACGTCTGCCGAGAAGGGCAGGATTGAGACTTCGTTTTGTCCAATCATGTTGGAACATTGAGGAGATTTCATGGAATTCTAGCCAATTGCATATTTTTATTTTCTGGAATTTTGGCCAATCCAGAATCACGCACAATACAATTTCGTTGACAAGAAAGGGTACAGTGTGCGCAAGTCTTTGTCGCACGTGCATGGTTTTTGTCATTTGGGGGTGGAGAAGTTTCCATGCGATTCCATCACATTGAAAGTTTGCCATGGAGATCAACAAGGACATCGTCGACGACAACTTTGAGAGCTACGCGCTGTCGCTCGAGGGAAAGACGGCCGTGGGTGTCACGCTGTGCTCTCCATTGCTTCTCCCCCTTGAAGCGCCATCCACCGCGAACAAAGAAGTTTGGAACGCACGGGTGTACCACAATTGCCTCGCGTGCAATCCGTTCGCCAAGGATAGTGTGTACTACGTCAGTCGTGACGGCGATCTCGTTCAATTGACGTTTTCCGCACGTGACGGCTCCTCGCTTGAACAGACGAAGCTGCTGACATTCCCACAACTTGTCACGACGCCGGTGGAAAAGCGACTGGACAATCCGTCAATCCGCTTCGTGGCTCCCCACATGGGCGTCTTCACAGACGGAACGGGTCAAATGATCATATTTGGGTTCATGCACGGCCACTGGTCTGTGTTGTCGTCGTCAACACCTCTGGGCCCCTCTCTTTCGCTCAACTTGCTCCAAGCCCACCTCACTACGAACGAAGAATCCATCCACTGCTTGGTCGGATCGTTGGACGCTTCGACGGGAATCCACCGAGTGTACGCATTTACCATCAGCTTGCACGCACCTCTAGATATCCAACCTACTCTTGTGCATGAAGGCGGAAAGGGTATCACATATGCACATTTCCACGGCCACCAAGACGTTGTATTTCTCGTCGAAGGCGAGCATGACCTCCGCGTCCCAGTCCAGAGCCACCCTTCTCACAAGCGACACCACGAGCTTGAAGGCGGTCCCGTCTTGAAAGCACCGCGTGCTGGCCTTGGGTTTTCTGGCGAAGTGCCCAACCCAGAGCTGCCGTTGCCGCCGCTAAACCATGCCGACCTCACCAAGCCCCTGTACGACCGATTCCTCGCTTCGACAACTCCATACAGTAGCATGGAACAACCGCTGCATTTGGCGCCACCTCCGTCAGCAGTGCATCCGCCCGATGTACCCATTGAAATCCCCACGACCGACTCGCTCCTCGGTGGCTATGAAGAATGCGACGACCTCGACCCGAATGCCACCGCTGTGCTGTACTCATTCCATTTCGGCGCGAACGCCATCACGGCAAAGTTTGACATCGATTGCCGCCGCTACAGCGTCTTGGGTAAGAAGTCACCATTGCATGCATCGACGTGACGAGAGCATGCATGGGGTAGGCCCAAGCTCGAAGTATTCGGACCGACTGTTGTTCCAATACGATGTCCACGGCGTTGTCTTTCGGGTGGAGTCGACGCCCCATGCGATCTCATTGACCCACGAGTCGACGTTCCCAGCTTTTGGCTATGTCCAGGCGTCCAAGACACACAAAAAGTATATGGGGTTCCACCCGACGGGGTCCCTGGCGGTCATAGCGGACTTTGAGAAGCAATTGTACCTGTACAAAGGCCGACCTGATGCTAACCAAGGAGCGCACGTACGCTCGTCGTTCCTCCATGAACTCGCGGCAGGCGAATCCATCTACGGCGTCCAATTTCTCGGGCCGTCCGTGATTGTGGCGCTCACTCCCAGTCGCGTCGTCCGCTTGAACGTAGCCATGTGACCCCCGCCTTCGACTATGTCCAGCATCCCCATCATGTATTCTACTTGACTCTGTAAATCAAACCAATTCCGCGTATTCACTCTCGAGATGATCTATACATCGCCCATTGCACCCCTCCAACATCCAAGACATTCTGCATGATCCTCACAGATTTGTGCTCGCGGTTTTTCTCTGGTGGAGGAAGTATGCGCGCGTTGACCACGTGCCCGTGTTGTGCATGCACAGCAAGTCGATATGTTGCGTCCGTTCATCCAAAACGAATCCAGTTTCGGGCTATATCCACGAGCAAGCGGACACACAAGGCTTGTACGTACCCCTCAAGCTTGCGTCCACCGCCGCGTTGTCTGCGATGGCGTTGCCGCGGCATCTCGCTACATCGCGCGGCCGTGCCACTTTGCCGCCGATGATTGGGCGGTGGCCGCCAACGGCACCAAATACAAACACTAGGTGTAGCGGCGGTATTCGGACAATTCGAACAATTATCCGGACTAACACCTCCCAATTGAACCCAGCATTCGAGGATTCTGAACTCAGCAAGCACTCGGACGTCGACGGCATGGCGCACCAAATGGACTTGAGTGTGCAGCAAGAGCTGCGCAAGCTCCCTGGCAACAACGTAGGTGGACGTGACCGTCGTAGTTGAAGTAACGCGGCACTGATTGTTGGATGCGGTAGAAATGTGTCGACTGCGACGCGCCGTACCCGCAGTGGGCGACGGTCTCGTACGGCACGTTCATGTGCCTAGAATGCTCTGGCCGCCATCGAGGCTTGGGGGTACACTTGTCCTTTGTTCGGTCCGTATCGATGGACTCGTGGACGGACAAGCAGATCCGTTTGATGCAGGTGACGATGACTAGATGGGAGCGATGGTCTAAGCTGGTGGTTAACTTAGTTGGGCGGGAACGACCACTTTCGAAGCGAGTTTGACAAGGCTGGTGTTCCCAAGACGTTGAGCATTGCCCAAAAGTACAACACACCGCAAGCCGAAGCATTCCGCAATCGGTATGTCGAGTTGAGACGAACTCGAGGAAATTGACTTGGCTACGTCGCCAGGTTGAATGCGTTGGTAGAGGGCACGACGCCAGCTCCACTGCCGCGATGGGATCCATCGTCGCTGCCTAGTGGCACTGGCGGAGCCAGTGCCGGTGACGCGAAAGGCGTTGAAGCGCTGAAAGGCGAAACCGAGCAAGAATATGTCGCTCGGTGGGCTTGATCGCACTGCTTTCGGCATCCACATGAATGACGCTTGTAGCCAACTTCGTCTCCGTGAAGAAGCTCGTGCTCGTATGGCGGCCAAGTTTGGATCTGGCGGAATGCAAGGAATTGGCAGTGGCGGCCCCACGACATCTTCAAGCAGCAGCGGCAGCGCCGGGGGGGGCTATGCTGACGTCACGAGGTATAATTTTCTCTGCGTGATAGTGTGGCATGGATTGCTCATGTGTCTTCAGCTCTCTCGGCTCTGCCTTCAGCTTGCTTTCCACGACCGTGACGTCGGCGGCGTCGTCCGCAGCCAACCTCGTGAAGAACCCCGAGCTCACAAACACAGTCTCGTCTTCTTGGAGCACGATGCAGGCCAAGGTAACGTCGCAACATTCACGATCCTCCATGCACCATCTTCGATCCGACTTTCTTGAGCATCGCATACGCGTCTTGAAGGCTCTGAAGGATGCTTAACCTAGTTCTGTAGCTCACGGACCCAGAACTGACCAACACGGTCAAGTCGACTGCGTCATCCAGCTGGTCGTATTTGACAACGACCACGTCGTCGCTGCTGAAAAACGCTCAGTCGCTGGTCGACCCAAACGCCGCAAGTTCGTCTGGGGGAGCTAACGACGGTCTCTTCTTCCCGCGTACGAATCCCAACTTGCCGGAAACAAGCAAGTATGAAGGAATTGGCGCATCGACGTTGAACCGACCTGCTCCTGCGCCGACCTCGTCGCGAACAGCCTCCTTTGACAGCGTACGGTACCACAACGCTTCCTTCGTATTGGTTGACTTGTTCTTACAGCTTCCCGCCCCACCTGCGCCCGCATCGACGACATCGCTCCAGAAGCCAGAGCCGTTGGGCTCGACCTTGGCGCCGTTGCCGGTGCCAGCCCCAGCGGCTGCCCCGAAAAAAGAAGTGAAAAAAGACGTCGATTTCTTTGGGGAATTTGGAATGTAATTTGCATGGTTCGTTCGTTGGTGTAGTTTTTTTAATGGACGAAAACGTACTACAGAATAAAAAAAGATTTTTTGCGTTTCCGTTACTTGCTTGAGCCAATCACCGGCGACGACGTCGTGCTGAGTTCGTTCGATTGCTTTGGATGGGAGTCGCGCCGCCGGCACCGCGGCGAAAGAGAGATGGCGTCAAAAAGAAAGCCAAACCCGTCAAGAAGACAAATGTGACCTCGATCGACGCGCTCGTGGTGCACAAGACAAAGCTGACGCCCGCCGACGAGGCCATGCTCTTCGAATCGAACAAGTCGGCACTCTCACACGAGCGCTTCACTCGCGCGATCTACTCCGTCATCTCTCAATACCACCAAGCATACATCGATTGGTATCCATATGATCCAAAGAGCTACGAGCGACAAGGGTACAGTGAGTTCCATCTGGAGAACTACGCCAAGGCGGTCGAGCGGCTCAGTCAGGCTGTGTACCTTGGGGCGAACTCGGCCAAGATGTGGCGCACCCTCGGTCGAGCATGCTTTCATTTGTGGAAACAAACACACGACTGGGGTTTGCTGTGGGATGCCAAGTCTTGCTTTGAGGTAGCACTCTCCGCCTCGTGCACACTTTTATTTCAAGTCCCCACGCCTGATGCGAACTTGACCTTGTACTAGAACGGCCTTCGTTTTGTGGAGGTCGCGATGAATCCTTACGCGTTGTTTGAGTACTCCCATGTGCTGGAAGGTCTGGGCGAGTTTGGCGCGGCGCTGGGCGTGGTTCGAACCCTGCTCTACGTACGTCGGCTCCTCTGTGGCTCGACCTGATCGAATCATGGTCGCAGTCGTTTCCCCAATTTGCCAAGGCCGACCATGTCGTGCTGCGCGCGGTCGTCCTCATGTTTCACACCGTCGTGTTCAACAAGCAGCAGGGCCAAAACGATGCTGCGACCAACGACAAAGCGCGCCAGGATATGCTTGATCAATGCTGCGACTACTGCAAGTTTATCATTGACAAGGACGTGTCCAAGGTACTTGCCAGAATTTCTTGTCGTTGGGCCTCTCCATTATCACGCCATGCGATGGCTGAATAGACCGACATGTACTTGACGTTGCTGTACGTCACTGCCCGAGTCCACGAAGCGGCCGTCATCCCCCGCACCGTCAAGTACGCGGCCAAGACGTACGAGGAGCTCTACCGCGTTGGCCTACGTCTTGGAATTGTAACGCCGATTGTCGGGTGCGGATGGCTCGAGTGGTTTCGATCGTGCACGACGTGGAGTGTGTGGGTACAGGTGAGTCCGCATGGGGATCACCGTGCGTACGCTTTTGTCATGCATGGAGCAGTACTTTGACAAACGCGACGACCTCATCTTGGCGGTGGACGCGGCACAAGAAGGTATCAAGCGCATCGACGTGGCGAAGGATCGGGTGTGGAATCGAGCGACGTTCTCGTGGGAGCCCGAAGCGACCATGTGGTACACGCTCGGCAACCTGTTTTTCAAATGCAACGACATGATCCCGGCCGTCGCTGCCATGGAAACGAGCTTGTACTTTGGTCGATACCGCACCGACGTTCGAGACAAGGTAACGCAATGGCACCCCACTCAATGGAGGTGCGTGGTGCGCATGGAGATTCCCTTTCCGAGATCGTCCTCGATGGAAGGCGTCCATGGGCGTGCCGGCTCATGCCATTCTGTAGCTCGCCACTAGCGTCCGAAATCTCAAGCCAGGTGAAAATCGCCGCCTTGTTGCGCGGGGTTTGGGGCCGCGACAAAGCCAAGCGCCATAAAGTGTGGGTCATCCAAGATGCAATGGACCAGTACCGCAAGTCGCCATACACATCGCTGCGCGCGCGGAAGGTCCTGGTCAAGTTCATGGCCGAAACGTACGTCTTCGTTGAGGCAGTGTGCACTGTGTCGGATGACGTCGATGGCACAGGTACGCGCCCAAGTTTGCCGCCCAAGACGTGGCCGCTCGTCGGATTCAAGTACGGCGCGGCGAATGCAATCGCAGTCGCATGACGACGTCCCGTTGGTTGGCTGTAGAAAATCGGCAAGCGGTTTGCCCTGCACATGCGAATCTTCTACACAAACGAAACGAATCGACAGACTCGCCTCGATGCAATTGTACGTGATGGAATCCCTGCACATGCTTACGTTGGGAACGCCAGTCGACCCATTCGCATCCATGGACAGGATGCACCTTTCTATCAAAACGTACAATTGTGACGAGTGAGTTGTAGATCCAGCGATGGGCCGTGGCGCCATTCGATCGGTTGCTGCGGGATGAACTTGCGTTGCTATCTCCAACCCATCGCGCCATGTTTGCTCGACAGCACGATGCGGCGGTTCGCATTCAAGTGAGTTGTGCATGTCTCGATCGGATATCTGTCTCGACCAGCGTCGTCTTTGTGCTCGCGTACCCAAGTTCAACGCAACTGACACGGGATGTCTCACAAATCTAGAGTCTCCAGCGGGGTCGCTGCGCGCGATACAAGTACTTCCGCCTTCTAACCGAAGACAAGGTCCTCCGGTCGGAAAGACTGAGGGTGTACAATGCAGCATGCAGGATTCAGCGTCGGTTCCGCACCATTCGAAGCAATGCACTGCTGCACACGCGGCACATTCTGCGGCACAAGAAAGAGCGGCTGGCGGTCAACCTCCAACGCCTCTACCGACGGAAAAAGTCCCTGCTCGTGCGCTTCTTGCAGCGTCAGGTAAAGCAGTCGTCAGGCAGCCACCATCCATCTCAGCTCAGTTCTCCAGGCCCAACGAAAGCAAGACGAAGCGCGAAATATACTGCGGCGGGGAAAATGCGTCAAAATTCAAACGTGGTGGCGACGGCGCCGAGCAGCGTGGATGCAAGACGAACCGATCAACGAAGTACGAGCATTGTCAAGACGATCTGTGCGGGTTGACGTCGGTCGTGACATGACTAGGCGTCGTTTCTGCTGGAGCGGCTCCTGCGCGGCCACGACGCGCTGTACGTGTGTTCTCTGGTTTAGATGACTGGAAGGAAAAACGGACTGTTGAGTCGAACTGCGTACAGCGCTACAACTCACGATCACCGATGTGGCGTTCTCCATAGCATGAAGGACGAGAAAGACTTGGACTTTTACGCGCGGCGGATCCAAGCATTGTACCGTGGGCGCCAAGATCGGCTGTGCCTACGTGGCCTTCGCCGAGTCCGCATGCCACCGGTGCCATCCATCGTCCACCGCCTGATTCAAGTACGTCCAGTTCAAGGAACCCGACGGTATGATCCTGCGCGCTTGTAGGAAGCACATGCGACTGGCAGGGGCAACGTAGCTGTTTTGAGCGACCCCACGGCACCGCCGCTGACCGCTGCGCTCCGCGACATGATGCATCGGCGGCACGCTACAATGGTCGTCGCGTTTCAAGCACCCCCTCAACCGGCCACGTGGTCGACTATGTCGACGATGTTAAAACAAGGCGGGGGAGCCGCAGTCGAGACTCTACTTGTGGGCGGCGGTAGCCGAATCAGGTAAGCCTTGCGAGCCATTTATTTTGGACCGTGGACATTGCATTTCCCAGACGAATAATTGAGCGGTCGTGATGGTGGTCCTGTAGGGGAACTGGCATGAGTGCACTGGTCGAAGCACTTCGTGGAAACCAACTCAAGCATTTGCGGGTGTTGGGAATCGGTCGTAACGAGATCGTCGCAGATGGACCAGGATGCATGCCGTGCAGGTACGGCGATCAGAGTCATGCAAGGATCGCGGCGCAGTGACAAATTCGAGATGCCGTCTTTGTCTTCGATGCCATCGAAACCTCTCGGCAGACGGTCCCACACGCATTTGTGTAGAGACCTCTCGACGTGCTTGCAAACAGCGCATTTTCAACTGCGCCATCTCATTGTCGAAGACAACAACTTGACGGACGTCGGCGCGATGCATGTGGCTTCCGCCATCGGCGATTACTTTTTCGGCCGGTGAGATTCATTCCCACATCAGATATCGGAGCACCTCGATGTAGATATGGGCACTTGGAACGACTCGTCTTGGGACGAGTGGGACTGACCGACGCCGCGTGCCAAGCATTTGGGCAAGCGCTATCGATCAACACGGTGCTGCGGACCCTCGACTTGCATGGGAATCGCATTCACGACGAAGGCGCGTCCGCCCTCGCCACGGGGTTCCACAAATCCAGGACGCTGCAGACCCTCGACCTGAGTGAGAATGGAGTCGGGACGGTCGGGGCGAAAGCTCTGTTTCGCGCGATGGAGACGAGCGCTGTGATGAATTTAGTGTTGTTGAACAATAACGTCAAGAACGACGTCATGGGCGCCCTCGCGGCGCTCTTAAAAGCGAAGGACCAAGGTTGCGTTGTCGACCTCCACGGCAACTTGATTCACGCGGACAACATGGTTGAAATCCAAACGTGGTTCACCCCAGAGTGTCCCGACGAGGCCATACAACTTCCACTTGTACCCAACGGCACTGCTTTTGACGAAGCAAAGCGAAAGCTTTTTGCACCTCGCAACGCCAAAGGCGTCGGGAAGTTATCCAAGGATCCGCTGAAGGAGTTGCGGAGAGAGCGCCGGGCCATACCGCTAGCGCGCACGCCAAATTCTGTCAGCCACCTGCTCAAGTTGCCTGTCCTCTCCATGCGCTGAACACGATGTCGTATAAACTGAATACCATGCCAGCTTGACGAATCTCAATGTTCCAGTGCGCATCACTGCAGGACTGCGGGATGTGAAGCTCCGTTCAACCACATTATGCTGCATCTTCAGCTTTGCTTTCTCGCGGGTCGTTGAGCTCATAGCTGGCATGTCCATCTTGAACAGATGTGGCTTGAGTCGATCGAGGGCTAACCTTAGAGGACAAAGGAGCTTGTGACTCAAGACCAAGGAGGAAAATCGAGAAACAGATTGTTGTTGTTCATAAACTACTGTCCTATGCCTTGTTCTTCTTTCTCTTGCGTAGGCATGACGAGCTGGAAGCTCGCCCTTCCCGACGCTGCTCCGTCGCTTACAGGATGCATGTACCATCCTCGTCACGGAGACTTTGTTCCGGATCCGGATGACCCATTGCCTTGAATCATCGGGATCAAGTTAGTATTCGGATAATCCATTTATCCGGATTGTACTCGCATGACAACAGTGGCGGCAACGACAAGAATGCTGCGTCGGGTTGGTCGAGCGGCATGGAGGAGCCTTCTCGTCCCGTCGACGCTACCGACAAAGCATGCATGGGTACGGTCGGTGTCCTCGATAAGAGCGGACTGGTTGTGCGATCCATCGCACCCAAGGCTGCAAAAGTTCCTCGAGGTTTGGCGAACTCTATTAGTGCAAGTTTGTCCGCTCACAGTGACATGCAACCTAGGCGGAGCACGCGCACTGGCGACGGGAAAGTAAGCCATATCGTAAATTCCAACGCGCATTGTACGCTGAAATGCGTGAACGCCTCAAGCTCGATCAAGCGGACCATTCCATTCCTGAAACGATTGGAGACCATACGTATTACATAAAGTCGCTTCCGCGGTTAAACTTTCCACTATACTGTCGACAGCACGTCAAGACCGCGAAGGAAGAAGTGCTGCTGAATCCGAACGACATGGACGATTTCGGCCAGATCGGTGTGTTCAAAGTCTCACCCGACGGACAGTTTCTTGCATACACCATGGACCCGCGCGGCGACGAGCTGTACGACGCATACGTGAAGGACCTGCGAACTTCTCGCACGATCAAGCTCCAGCAGCACGCTCGCAGCATCGAATGGGATACTGTCGGATCGCTCTACTACACCGTGCCGGACGCCATGCACCGCCCGAGCCGTGTGTTCCGCTACCGCCACAACAGTGGTAGTCTCCCCGACACCCTCGTATGTCGCTCAATCCCATTTACGTGCATGCCCATCCAATCCTTGCCTGGAGCGTTGGAGCTCCATCAACTTGTTCCAACTCAAAGCGGCGTCGGCTCATGGCAATTCTTCGTTTCGCCCGCCTAGGTCTTTGAAGAGCACAACCCGAGTGTATACGTGGACGTGGTCCTGACCAAAGACAATCGATACGTCCTCATCAACGCCAATTCAAAGCGGTCGTCCGAAGTGCACACATTGGATGCGGCGGATGCCGCAGCCGTCCCGCAGCTCCTTCGCCCGCGCGACCCCGACGTATTGTACTTTGCCGACCATGCCACGGACGCGTTCTACATCGTCACGAACGATAACCATGTGCGCATTTGTCTATCCGATGCTTGCAACTAATGATGCGCCCAGGCGAGTAACTATAAAGTCGTCGTCATGCCCGACTCGCGCCGAGGCCACTGGACAGATTTCCTTGCGCACACCGACGCCAAAGGTAAGCACTCCATGTCATGGTCACGTGTGCAATAGCCAGACACGGTTGAAAGGCACCAAGATCGACGAAATGGACCTATTCAAGGACTTTCTCGTGTTGTACGAAAGACAAGACGGCCTTCCCCGAGTTCGAGTCGTGCCGCTGCGTGCCCCGCACGAGGCGCACGTGCTGGCTCTTCCCCCTGAACATGCATGCTGCGTGCTTCATCCGTGCCCGAATCGCCAGTTTGACGACAACATCGTTCGCTTTTCCCTGTCAACGCCGCTCGTGCCTGAAATCGTGTACCAGTACAACCTCCACACACGTACGACCGCATCCATCCAATCCATCCATCATTCCGTTCTTTGCCTCGTAGGTCACTTGGAAGTGCTGAAAGAAGACGCAGCCGTGAACTTTAACGCTGCGCAATTTACGTGCCGTCGTGTGTACGTCGATCATGCGGCAGGCATGCCGCTGGAGCGTCGAACGGACGATGCCTCGACCGTGTCGGTGCCCATGACCCTCGTCCACCACAAAGACCTGGTTCTCGATGGATGCAACCCGACGCTGCTGGTTGGGTACGGAGCGTACGGCATAAACCTCGAGACTGGATTCGACATGGAGTCGCTGTCGCTCTTGGAACGCGGGTGGGTACTCGCCTACGCGCATGTCCGAGGAGGCGGGGAGCTTGGACTGGACTGGCACACCCAGGGTCGCTGTCTGTTGAAGAAGAATTCGTTTGTGGATTTTGCAGCATGCTGCCGACATCTCGCCAAGAGCGGTATCACGACGCCCAGCCTTCTTGCGGCCAAAGGCACATCGGCCGGCGGCCTTCTTGTAGGGTGCGCATTCGTTGGATGTGGTTGGTTGTCAACCTGAACGCGTGTATTGTGAATAGGGTCGTGGCCAACGACCATCCTGAATTAGTACGAGCACTCGTGATGAATGTGCCATTCCTTGACATCGCCGCAACGATGCAAGACCCGTCGTTACCGCTTACTGTCCACGAGTATGACGAATGGGGCAATCCGTCTGCCGACGCTGCCGTCAGAGAATACATCGAGTCGTACTCCCCCATCGACAACCTGCGCCCGCTTTCTGCACAAAGCAGCAAGGACTACCCCGCCATGTTTGTCACCACAGCACTCAACGACATGAGAGTGAACTTTTGGGAACCCCTTCGTTGGGTGCGTCACTTTCGCCAGAACAGGACGAATCCTTCAAAAGATGGCGCGCCGGTAGTGTTGTGGTGCAAAGTCAGCGACGACGGCGGCCATTTCAATGGACTGGGTCGCCTGGACCAGCTACAAGCCGCCGCCGACGAAGTCGTGTTCCTCCATCATGCGTTGCAACTCCCCGTGGAACGAGCAAAATCGCTGCTAATTTAAAACTGATTTAAAATCCCAATTTAAATGCGAATTCACGAGTGTGGCCATTTATAATATAAAAAAGGAACGCCAACGTGTGTGTGCCTTCTTGTTCAACTTTCGAATTACGTGGCCGCACAACATGACGCACAGCACCTACCGCCGCATGCTCGAGCCACTCGACCCAGACGACGACTTGGACGACTTGTCGTCGCCAGACCCGCGCCCCGACTTCTTCTTCTTCTTTTGGACGGCAGCAAACGCCTTTGGGTCGCACTCGGGGCAAAACCACGTGTCTGGGTGCTGGCCGTCGGAAAACCCCACACATTCCAAATGGTACCATTGACTCGGGTTTGGGCATTGCTCGCCATCACACGCAATCATAGCGCCATACCCAGGCAAGTTGCAGACACAGTAGAGCTCGTTGTCGTCGTTCTTCTTGTTCTTGTTTTCGTTCGATGGTTTCTCCTTGGGCTTTCCCTTCAACTGTTTCTTGGACGGCGGGGGAGCAACTGGAGCAGTAGCGTCGGGGGAATCTCCTTCATTGTCCTTTTCGTGGTCGTCATCGCGGGTACGCTTGCTCGTGGACGACGATGTGGGTGCCGTCGAAGTGGCAGTGGCAGCCTTGGTGTCGTCGTTTCCCCGATTGGGCTTTTTGACGGACGTCACAGGTTTCGGCGCAGGCGGGCGCACGCGAGTCGTTTTTTCACCGTTGCGCACCCTCGTGACAAAGGAAAGAATTGACTCGTCTTCTTCCACTTCGAGGGACCCGTCGAAATGCCTGCAACACTTTCCTCAGTCCAAATTGAATCGATCGGAAAGATAGACGCACGCACCTTGCAACGAGCGCCGCAAGTTCGTCTTTCGTGCACTCGTCGCGGATAGGAATCTGGTAGAACGCGACGTACTTGTTGAGCGCTTCAATCTGGAAGTCTCCATGAGGTTCTCGTGGAGACGTCGAGTAGTGTATATATACGTAAATACATGGAGGGAGGTGAAATCGACGAGCAGTCGAGGAGGATACATCACTTTCTTCCCATGCACGGGGGATTTGTCGAGTTTCCCATACTTCGACTTATTCGGATCAGTCTCATTGTCTCCCGACCGGCCGTGGTAGGAAAGCGCGTGAGATGACGGTCTTTCTGAAAAGGTCGACATGGATACGTCGACTGATGTCATGGAGGCTACAAGCGCGTCACATCAGTGATTCGCGGTGGCCGCAGTTGTGCCATTTGTCCTACCACAATGAATGGAGACGATGCTGGAGCGTGTGATGTGTGATGCGATTCAATGAGGCAATGTGAAACCTCAATGCGCCTTCACGGGGATGGGAACCAGGGATGGCGAGCGTCGAAGGCGGGAGCGGCGGTGGTCGGCCTACCTTGCGTGCGGATCGTCTGGGGAGAGTTTGGTGTTTTTCAACTCATGGTTCTGTTGGTCGTTACTTTCGCCAGGTATAAAAGGTACCTCTGAAATATAATAATTGGCCTTTGAAAATGAATATGACAGCCGATACTCGCCCTGGATTGGCTCAATTTCAACCCATTTAAGAACGTTTTCGTACTTCAGAGAGAGATGGATACTTCAACCGACACATGCATGGAATCTCGCCGTGTTGTATGTAAATTTCACTTGGATTTTGTATATATGCAGAATAATTTTCTTTAAGGGACATGATTGGTCCTTGGGAAAATTTCCACGTTTCATTGGTTAAAATTCAAGATAATCACACCACACGCATTCAAACATCAAACGCGCGGCGTCTCCGCGGGACAAGACACAACATGGTTGAGGAAGGATTTGAAGATGTGCTCGGTACGGGAGCCATTCGCAAGAAGATCCTCAAGTATAGTGATGGAAAGAAAGCAGGTATGCTTGAATGCAATACCGCTAGTTGTCAAAACGTGCGTACCGCGGCCGTATCACCTTTGGACGATGTTGAGGCTGTCGCTAATTCCTCCGTGCATGACTTGTATATCACGCTAAATATCACAACCGTGTGCATGTAGAATTTGGTGATGAAGTAACCATGACGTACAGGAGCTACGACTTGGAAACAGACGTCATGATCTCGGACGACACGCAAGTGTCTTTTCGGATTGGCGACAACGAAACCTTTGCCGGTATGCTACTGCTTTTTAGTAAGTGAACGAGGGGTTTGACGACTTGGCATAGTTCTCGAGCTCATGGGCCGCGTCATGCGTGTGGGCGAAGTGGTGCAAGTGCATTGCGAGTCTCGATTCGCCTACGGCAACGTTGGCAGCGAAGTTGAGGTATTCTCTTCTTCGAAACAAACACAAAAGTGACTGTGTCGTGTATAGGCAGAAGAGAATCAAACGTCCAAGTCATCCATTAAGTTCATTATTACCATGGACGAGTGGATTTCGGAGCGCAAGATGCCAGATGAAATGACGAACGATGAGCTCATCGTGGAAGCGAACAAGAAGAAGGACAGCGGAAACCGATGGTTCAACGACAAGAACTACCCGTACGCGATTAACTGCTACAAGAAGGCCCTCAAAGTGCTTGAGAAGTGGAACACGGAAGAAGACTTTGCCCAGAACGAAAGCTGCAAGCAACTCGTCGTCGCGCTGGGCAACAACGTTGCGAATGTGCAGTGCAAGCTTGGTAAGTACAAGGAAGCAAAGGAGTCGTGTCGCGAGGTGCTTCAAGTTGATGCCAAAAACATGAAGGTAATGTCTCGGTGCACTCGGAATGCCATGGGGCATTCATTTTCTCTCCAGGCATGGTACAGATTGGCCCAAATGGCATACCAACAGGGCGAATGCAGTGAAGCGACGAGCTACATCCGTGAGGCTCTTGAAATTGACCCGACGAACAAAGCCATCCGAGAACTCGTCCCCCTTGTCAAGGAAAAGCGCGAGCAGCAAAAGGCTAAAGAGAAGCAACTGTACGGGAAGCTTGGGAACGTCAGTACGCCCGAAGAGACGGCATCACCCTCACAGCCCAGCTCGGAGACCACAACAGCAATCACTGCACCTTTCTCGGATCCCCTTCGGACAATATTCGCTGCGTCCGTCGTCCTTGTGGCTGTGATTGCCATGATCTACAACCACTTCATTTCACCCTGAGATTTTGTCGGAAGTTGGAGACTTTTACACTAATTACTGAAGCTGAATCGTAATTAGTGTTGACCACGACATGGCTGCTCCAATGTACTAGTACTATACAGTACTACTACTAGTACTACGTAGTACGTAGTTCCTTTTGTACAGTATTTAGCGGTATGTACTAACGCTAATTCAAGTGTGTCGAAGTGAAAATGGTGTGGGAAGTGATGATCTATTTCGTCGGGATTTTTGTTGTCTAGAGTTGCTCTTCGCCAATTTCGTAGCGTTGAAAGGCCGTGAGCGAAATCGTTGCGCCGAGCTTCGCGCCGGCCTTGTCCAAGACCGCCGAGACCTTGGGCGCGCCATCTTCAACCATGTGTTGTTGGTCGATCAAGGTCACTTCGCCGAAAAATTTGTTCATGCGGCCATCAACCATCTTTTCGACCACATTCGCGGGCTTGGACTTGGCTTGTTCTGCCACCTGTTCCAAGACAAACGCACGCTCCGCCGCGATGCGATCAGCTGGGACCGACTCGCGGTTGAGGAATCGAGGCTTGGCCGCCACGATGTGCATCGCGAGCTTCTTCCCCATGCTTTCCAATTCGGCGCGTTCGGATTCGGACAACTCCTTTGATACTTCCAGACCCACCAACGCTCCAGCTTGGCCCAGATTCAAGCTCGCAGATGCTACGCGGTGCACGTACTGAGCGACGACGCCGTTTTTTACAGCGACTGTGGTCGCGCGTTGCAGCACAAGGTTCTCGCCGACACGACCAACGAGTTCAGGAATGAAGTCTCCGACGCTGCGACCGTTCAGCGAAAGCACACTGAGGGCAGCCGTGTCGTAGTTGCCAACAAATGCAGAGTCAGCATGGACGGTGCGCGTGATGTCTGCCAGCAGAGCTTGGAACTGTTCGTTGCGTGCAACAAAGTCAGTTTCACTGTTCATTTCAACAATTGCGCCACGCTTCTTGTCCGAATCGACAAAAAGGCCCACAAGACCTTCGGCAGCCACTCGACCAGCCTTCTTGGATGCCGTTGCAATGCCTTTCTTGCGCAACCATTCGTAGGCCACGTCAAAGTCACCCGCCGATTCCACGAGCGCCTTCTTCACATCACCCATGGGAGCTTGAGACGCGGAACGGAGCTTCTTGATGTCTTCGATGTTGGGTGTGTAGGTGCTCATGCAGCGAGGGGTGACAGGCGTGAAGAGAACGCGGCGGGCGACGACGGACGTGGCGCGATGTAGCATCTTTTTGTCTGCGAAATTCGATTTGTGTCGAGTGGTGGTTTGGCCCCTTCATTGAAAAGCGTTTTTGATTGGCTAAAAAGATGGAATTTCTACAAGCAGAAGCATTGCAGAAAAAAGCGCTTCGTTCCAGCAAGATGGAGCTATCCACGGTCGACAGCGCGCTGCGCAGTTTGCTTCGCCGTGAGAATGTCCCTGCGTCGATTGTCGAAGCTGCCAACGCCCTCATGGAGAAGCCTCCTTCGGACGTCTTTATCTCGATGCTTCCTCGTTTCTTGGCAACGTTGGATCCACCTCGCTGGGACGTGCTTGCGGTTGGGTTCGTCATCGCAAGTGCTCATGCGACGACGTTGGATGCGCATGTGGACACATGGGACCTCGTGGTGGAAAAATGCCACGCCAATCTGGAGCACCTTGAGCCCCGTGTGCGACGACTCGTGGGCAAGGCACTCGGGTCGCTATGTGCCGTGCGAGGCGTTGGCATCTTTGAGGCATTTCGCGACGAACTATTGGACATTGTCGAGTGCAATATCACACGATCTCCAGAGTTTGAGGAAATCAACGAAGAAGAGTACTTTTCGTACTTCGACACGTCCATACCACTCGCGTCGCCCCTATCGACACCAACATCGCCCCATCGCCTCGACGATATCTCTGGATTCAAGAGCCTCGAAACAACCTTGCTCACGTTCAAATCCATGGTTCAAGGTCTCGGCCCCGCGTTCTTGACGGCATTTGAAGCGAACGAGTTCGACTTTTTCCATTCCATCATCGTACGAAGCGTCAAGCACGGAAATCGCCACGTGCGCAACGTCGGCTTTGAAACTCTGCACGTTCTTCATAAATCTGTTCTCTCACCACGGTACATGCTAATGTATCCGGGAATTGGTCATGGCATCGTCGACTGCTTGGTGCGTGGCCTACAGGACCCTTGGAGCGAGGTCCGACTGACGGCCTCCCAAGCCACGCGCTCGTTCCTCCTGTTCTGCGACGCCTGCGACGAACGACCCCTCTTTTACCCGAAGCTTGTGCCGCGCATGTGCTTGAACCGGCATTATGTGGCTGACGGCGTCAAAGCATACTCTCGCGACACGTGGATGAAAGTTATGGGCGAGACTGGCCGCCATGTAGTGGCGCAGTTCGCCGCCGAATGCGTTCAGTGCTACGTCGATGCTACGGATGCCGACAACCCGTTCGTTCGCGAAGCTGCATGCATTTGTATCGGGGAGCTTGTTGCTCGAGTGGACGCGGCTGCGATTCGCCCACATGCACTCGATTTGCTCCGTGCGGCGCGGATCTGCCTCCAAGACGATGTGTTCACAGTCAGTGATGCTGCATGTGCCGCATCATCGCAAGTTGTTTTGTCTTTTCCTGTGGAATGCCGCGATTCGTTGCCGGCGTTGGTAATATTTCTACCATCGTGAAGCATTTCGGCTGACGATGTGGTATATAGATGAAATGGTGGACAGTGCACCTGTCGGACGACGTTTGGAGCGTGCGCGAAGATGCTGCGGTGGCGCTGGGAAGTCTCTTGCGCGCGTATCCGACAGATGAAGTCCTTCGGAAACAAATAGCTGATTTGGCGAAGACTTTCCTTGCCAAGGCCAAAGACCAACCTGCAATGAGTCAAGCAGCGTACGACGCGCTTGTCAAGTCGGAAGTTGCGCACAGCAATAAGCAACGCTTCTCATGTTGCTCCTTCGAACCGCGACAACTCAAACGTACCACAGATCATGACTTATGTCATGGCCATGACCCTGCTGCCAGCCATGCGTTATGGGCGTACACAGACGGCGCAATTTATTTGGTTCGAGAAATGTGTGCAGCCAAGGAGTCTCAAGCGGATGCGATTGCGCTCTTCCCAGATCTCGTGGACGCGTCAATATTGCGACACTTTCCCCAGGCGTCTGTCTTGCAAGAAACATTGTGGAAGCAATTGCCAGCCATGGGCGCCGCACTTGGAAAGCCATTGTTCAAGCGACACATTGAATTGTTCTTTGACCCCCTCGCCTTAACACTGCAAGGTACCTTGTCGCATCAAGGACGGCATATCGACTCATCTTTGGATCGCAGGAACCCATCGCCTGGCAAAGTTTGCCGCTGTCGAATGCACCAAACAGTTAAGTCAGTTGATCGGCCCAAGCATCTTCCGCGGTCGCCTTGAAGCCAACAGCATGTGGATGGCAGAGATCGCCCCGTACTTGGATCCACAGCCTTAGTCCAGTACTTCCACCGCCGCGGTTGCTGCCAAATGTGCGCAACGTCGTCTGGAGTTGTGTGAGGAGGGTAAAATTTCGAATGGAATTGCGCGCGCAAATTTTAAATCAGACGGCAGTGTGATTTGATTGGATGATTTTTTCAGTCGGTGAAACCGCCGCTGATGCGGTTGAGGCAAATTTTAGGTCGGCATACTTCGACCGGCTTGGCGCATATCACGTCTGGATGAGTCATATCCACGTGTCGTGCCGCGTGCGTCCGCAGAACAGCGTAGAGCGGAAGAATGGAGGGCAGGAATGGTACGAACAACACCGTGCCTGGGGGAGGACCTTGCCGTTTCATCGCGAATTGTAGTGTCAAAATCTCCGATGGCAAAGCGATGGAAATCAGCACCGACGAAGCGTTTGCAAACGAGTACCTCAAGTACGCAGTACTCATCATGACGTGTTGGGATGAATCTTCACAGGTGCCAATTGTAGATGCACATTCGATCAGGTGTTTGGCACGAATGCCACTCAGCAAGAAGTGTACGAATCGACAGCCAAGTCGCTTGTCTTAGACCTCCTGGAAGGGTACAATTGGTGCGTACTCGACACTACCGTCGATACCTTGCCTTATCGTCGCATTGCAGCACTGTATTTGCGTATGGGCAAACGGGATCTGGGAAAACACACACAATTTATGGCCCGAAAGATGGAGTTGCCACAAAACCCGATGATGTGAGCCTTGGTTGTACGATACACAGCTACGGCTTATTATCTTCTCTGCGCTCGTAGGAAGGGTTGATCCGTCGACTTGTTCATGACCTTTACGACCATATCCACCTGCGACAATCGGAACAAGTGATTTTTGAAATCACATGCTCTTTCTTCGAGATTTACATGGAACAAGTCAACGACCTGCTCTATCCAGCCAGCAAAAACCTTCGCGTGCGTGAAAATACTGACAAAGGCATCTACGTTGACGATTTGCACGTGGCACGTGCATCTACAAAGGTATTCAATTAATTCGTCCTCCTTAGTGTTCATATTGTAATTAATGTGGTCTGCCATCCAGGAAGCGATGCTCAAGTTGGTCGAACGAGGCAACACAAACCGAGTGGTCGCATGCACTCGAATGAACAACGTACGAAATCGATACATCATATAACATTCTCATTCTGAAGGGAATATGTATCCAACAGGACTCGAGCCGTAGCCACACAGTTCTCATGATGAACATGGTACAACGTGACCTGGCAACTGCCTCGGAAAAGCGCGCTACAATGTATGTGGTCGACTTGGCCGGATCGGAAATGGTCGTGAAGACACTGGCAACGGGAAAAACGTTGAACGAAGCAAAAGCGATCAACAAGTCCTTGTCTGCCCTAAGCAACGTCATCAAAGCTCTTGCCGACGGAAAGAAGCACATTCCATTTCGAGATTCCAAGCTGACGCGGATTCTCCAAGACTCTCTTGGTGGCCGCGCCAAAACGTGCCTGATTGTAACCGCCTCATCCAGTTCCTACGTAAGAAGCATCCGAGCGCATCAATATGGAGACTGTGTGAACGGTCCGTAGAACGTGACTGAAACTATATCCACCGTGCGGTTTGGCATGCGTGCCAAAGAGATTAAAAACGACCCGACCCAACATGAGGTGATCACTTACTTGTTGCATAGAGATGCTCAATTATTTCATATGTTAGGTCAAAAACCCATGCATGTGTGAATATCAACAAGTACGTGGAATCCATTTTTGCACTTGGCCTTGATATGACAAACCACTAGCTGTATCAAAATTTGGTCATGAAACACACTGAAATGCAAAAGCAAATGCAAGCATTAATACAGACAGCACAAACAGACGAGGCTGGAACTCCACGACCCTCAGACCCTGTAGCGTGGCCATCACCAGGTAGGGGTTTGTATTCACGACATGACAAGTTACAAGTCGGTACGTGTTTCCTTCTAGGAGAGAACAAGTACGCAACTGCGGGTTTAAATCCACTCTCGCCACGTGTTGTTGCGTCCTCCCGAGACAGCGAAACACAAACGTCATCGTCGCCGCAGCTGGTGCCGCCTCCACCTCCTCCATCTTCAGGTCCGCCATCAACCCTTGCAAGAAGTACGCTGCTCTTGACCTTTCAAATCAAATTCACAACATTCATTTCACACGTCTGTTGTGAATGTAGCCTTGACTTCACTACTATTCGCGGACCAAACCGTCAAGCAAGGGCCACCATCACTTGGTCATGCTGAGCTCTTGTCGCAACTGCGCCAAGCCCAAGAAAACGTACGTCAGTAGTCAAGCTGTTTCTGTTTTGTTTGTATAACCCTTTATCGTCCTCGTGTAGTTACATATGTGCCAGTTTGAAAACGAAGCAATGCGGGAAATGAACCAAATTCTAAGCGCCCAAAATGCCGCGTTCAACACCCGAATAACTGAACTCGAAAGTTCGCTCGGCATGCATGAAAGTGCACTGGACGCCCTTAAAGAAATCAACCGTACGATCAGTGCTCAGAACACCGTCTTGAACGAACGCAACCAAGAGTTGGAGATGTTGGTCGAGAACAGCACTTCACCAAAGTTGCCGCCGTCATCGCCATCGTCGACGGCTTCATTGTCTCTGTCCCCCGAAGGATATGTAAGTATCGTAGGCTCGCTACTGGTTGCATTCTGGTGGCTAAACTGGTAACAAACTGCTTGATTTGACCAATCTGTGTGTTTTGGTAGAGGCATGCGTCTTTCGGCAATACTCCACCGGATATTGGTGACGAGACTACCTCCACAACGACAGACCCCGCCACGCTTGTCGAAATTTTGACTAAAAAGGTCGTCGAAATGAAGATGCATGTGCATTACGTCACCGAATACACCAAGTCAATTTTGGAGCACGAGCCGTACCAAATGGTGCGCCAACTGACACAACTCAGGCTCGAGAATGAAAGACTACGGGTACGTCGACAACACATTCAGCCATTGTTGAGCCCACTCGGTTAATGGTTAGCTGGAAGAACATCACCATGCTAACACCATCAAAGAGCTCCAAACCAAGTGCCAGGTGCGTAAACACAACTTGACATTGCTCAACTAATTCAATTCAGGCAATGAGCGAAGCCGTGTCCAAGACAGACGACAACACGTCGAACTTGCAACGAACAATTGCAGAGTACCAAGCATTGTACAAAGAGCAAGTCCGACTAAGTCAGGTAGTTCGTACATCGTAATCACTGTGAACCCGTTCTCTAACCGCCATGTTTTGTCCAGGAACGGCAACAGAACCTACTGAAAGAAGTTGAATACTACAAAATGATCTGGCAGCGCGTGCCACCACCATCTACCAAGCGTGACAACAACACCAAGCCTACCATCATCACCAACCTCCCTTCACACATCGCAACCTCCGACACCACTCGGGACAGCCATGGATCGACCGCGCACTCTCTTTTCAAAGCGGCGTCGTTTTCTGGTGCCGTGCCCACAGAACCACTCAGTTTGATGTCTCTCAAGCGAAGTGCCACGCGTAACCGCACCATCGTAAAGCCCCAGTCGCCGAAAATGGGATGGCAAATGCCCCAGAGTCCTCCACATACCAAGGTACGTCATATTCCACTTGCAAGAAGTGGCCAATCAATCACCAACGTCTTGATTCACAGGCTACAGTTGACGAGGACGACGACGAGGAAGTCCACACCATCCCCGAAGAAAACGACCCACTGAGCACGGTGTTCGACCAAGACGCGCTTGGTTAGCTCGCTGGCTAGCTGCGTTTCATCGCGTCCTTTGAAGGATCTTTAAGTAAAGGTTGTTTGGCCCCGTCTTGTTCAGAGTCCGAATCGTGATCACTCGTGCGATCTTCACTTACACTGGGGGTATGCTTCGACAAGTAAATGGACGTCACCAGCGCCGCCACAGCAGCAACGATCAGCAATCCAATTGTGTTGCCCAGCAAGCAATCCCATGACTGGAAACCCTTCACTTTCATTCCGTCCAATGTGCCGTGGAGATTGCAGCTCCGATTAAACATGAGCTTCTCCATCACGCCAGCCACTACACAGATGTTAAAAGGCACTTCATGGACAAAGCGCAGATTTTACCTGCTGTAATCCCTACAAGGGCCACAATTCCGACGCCCAGGCCAATATGATATGGCACCAGCATCATGCGAAGTCGGACTTGGACGCCAGGGTAGAAGAAGGACAAAAAGCCCAGCGCGTACTATAGCACCGCATCATCAGCAAGAATCGTCCAAAAAATGGAGGCCCTACTTGGCCGACAACTAGCAGCAGCGTAAAGAGTCCAATCCAGCTATGCAAGCTGTAAATGTTCTTGATGTCGTGTTCGTTGTGGAAGCGAATTACCGCCACCAACCCGACGATCACAGACAAGATCGCGAGAGTGTGGCACACCACGTGGATACGTTTGTTGATGTGGTGCGAGTAGGGCTTCGTAACGAAAACCAAGATGGCTAACGTTATGGACTCAGCTGCACGCCGAGATATGGCGACGACGTACCTTGGGACGAGCAAAAGAGCAACCCAAATGTCATCAAGACAGGATGCCAGTTGAACACGCGGCCGTCGTTTGGCGCCCACGAAAACCCCGCCAGGGACTTGTATTCGACGGTGTCATCCGAGTTCACCGTGTACGACATCAACGTTGAACCCATCCAAACGAGCACCAGCACAACGACGACAAACGGTAGAACCTATCAAAGAACAGCATCAGCAACATCAAGCCGCCTTCCACTTGTGCCAGCACAGGCGGCCGCATACATAGGAACACGTTCGCATCACGCTTCCCATCACCATGTTGCTGCAAGATTGCAAGATCGCCACTGCGTTCTTGCAGTTGGCACACAAAGTCTGGTTTGGTATCCGGACACAACGACAGCATCTTTATCCGGACAATTATCCATTGTATATTCTTGAAAAATCCACGAAAAACGACCCAAAATGGCGACTTTTACTCCAATAATGGACTCTTCATGTCGGCATTCGCGACTGTACGGTCGACGGGGTGCTTGGACACATACACGACCAGCAGCAGCGCGAGGAAGAGGATGGCGATAGAGACAGCCGTGATGGAACCTAGCACGCAGTCCGCCGCCATCCATGCACTGACGGGCTCACCATGAAAGGTACCCGTCACGTCGCAGCTCGCGTTGAACGAGAGCTGCTCCAATATTCCAGACACTGAAAACACCGTCCGTCACGTGCGGCATGAAGCACAAGCAGATGGAATGACATACCAAATGTAATAGTGATCAACCCCATGGCGCCGAGGCCCACGGCAATGTGGTAGGGCATGGACTGTTTTCGAAATGGCACCGGTGCTCCGGGAAACCAGTACACGACAATCCCAAACGTGTACTGCGAACAAGAGGAAGTTCAACCGGCACGATTGCAAAAGGAACATACCTGAGCACCAAACAGGACGAGGGTGGTGAGACCGACCCAGCTGTGTACGCTGTGGAGGTTGTGGAATCCATGCTCGTTGTGAAAGCGGAAGATCGCGATGGTGCCGACCATGACGGACAGAATTGAAACAGAATGGCACGCGATATGGATGAGCTTGTTGGTGGCGTGGGAGAATGGTTTGGTAACAAAGACCAGAATGGCTATCGGACTATCCGGTCGGCGGCAATTTTGGGGGATGCCAACGGTACCTTGAGAACAGCAGAAAAGGAACCCGAATGCCATCAAAACTGGATGCCAGTTGAACACCAAGTCGCTCTTGTCAGCCCATGAAAACCCCGCGAGAGATGTCTCGACAATCGTTCCATCCGGCTGCAGCGTGTAGGACGTCATCACGAACGCCATCCACACAAACACCAGCAGAAATAGGACAAGCGGGGTGATCTACGCACATAGACCAAAATCATCAATGCGTCAGAACCCGCCTGAGGCAAGACCCACGCACGTGTGCGGCAAAGTTGACCAGCTCCATCGTGCTCTCGACCGGAGAAATCTTCTTGATTTGGGGCAACCCTTGATCGGGCCGTTTGATTGGACCAAACCAACCAATGAAACTAGTTTATTCGGATTTAGTGGAAGGGGATTGGCAAATGAAACGTCACACTGCATCGTATCCACAGGGCAGCGGGAACAAGGTGGGGCGCATGCACCGTTTATGGAAAGTTGGCATGGAAGCGCGTCAATGCCAGGGCACTCCGTCAAAACAGTGAGTTTGATACAATGACGAGTTCCGTACGACGTCTGGCCAGTGTTGATTGCTTTGACAAGCCCATGAGCCACCGAGCCAGCTTCAAGTGTTCGGGAATGTGCTCGAACGCAAGAACCTTGTAATCTTGTGTACGATCGCTCGTGCATTGTTTGTTCGTAGAACGTCCAGCAGAGGGCGAGTTGTCATGGAGTTGAGGCTAGCGTCGTACAGTGTGGCTGGAGTTGGCGCGTGGTCTGCAAATCGTCCACACTACCTAGAGACACCACGACGATGAACCTCAGTTGCGCTGTCCTTGTGCGCCTTCCTGCGGTGCAAACCCTTCTGCCCGCTGAAACAGCGCAGATATCACGTACCAACGCGTTATGTGGGCAAGACCTGCTGGGTGAGTCCATGGACATCTCTGTGAAGTTACCACAAAAACTGTCGTTTTGCTGATGTTTCAGATTTCGTTACACTGGCCTTCCCACTCGATGTGGAATGAGTGAAAGTAGCGACACCGCCAATGCGACAAAGAGCGTCAAGGCCAAGAACCCTTTGATTCCAACTGACGCGCACGTCGCCGACTACAAGCAGCCTCGGCCTTCCCCAGTTGGCCCTCACCACACAGGTCACTTCTAACGTTATTATTCCCTTCGCGACCGATCCTGTCGTGAATGACTTTGCTCAGGAGAGCCTCCATCGGACGTATCACCTGCTGTCGTCCTCCGCGACGAAGCGTCGACCTCGCCCTTGAACTTGCGGTTCAGCTTCAACTTTGACGAGCGAAACGAGTAAGGTGAATATGCTTGCGACGCTTCGTCACACTTTGTTAGACTCTCCATCACGCACAATATCGACTTGCACGTCCCGCCATTGTGGGCCAGCGATGCGCATACATCTCTCGATTCTGTCGGCGCGGGTAGACCACCAACGCCCGATGGCACCCTGGAATGCGCAGTATGCGGCCCTACATAAGGACTGTTGTGGTTCATGCAAGAATAGGGCGCTGCACGACGTAAACAATTGAAAGAAGGGCGAACGGAGGGATTTGGAAAGCCGGATGTCGGGCCACATGTACGAACGGATTGAAGTGACAGGGTTGTAGCCTTTGTCCATGCCTCTGTAGATCTCAAAGACGGCGCGAGGACCCCCATCAACCGAAAACCCCCTGACGACGCAGGACGGTGCTGCTGCCATAGTCGATATCGCATCGTCAACAGCAAATAAATCTCCCCAAGGAAGGGCAAAGTGTCCCTGCGACACAGACGACGGACGCCACGCAAACTACCTCGGCACTGGAGCCACCGCCAGACATACCCCATTCGCCTTTGTTGGAAGCGCCGCACGACCATTCAAGATGTTTGTCTCCCTACGATGTCGATCATGGAAATGGAAAGCAGGATGAAGGAATACGGACTGGAAAGGACGAGGACGTGGCCGACAAGGTCACTGGGGAAGTCGATGCTCCAAAGGAGGCGTCTGTGGTCAAGGCACAGCAGCCGCATTTCATTGATGCTCATGGGACGGAAGCGCCCAAGACAGCCCAGGACCTTGCCACCATAAAGATCGAACTCGACCAACTGACACTTGGCAGCGCCACTCGAGCCGCAGAGTCTGCGGCACCGCTGCAAAAGGTTGAGAAACCGCGCCTTGAATACACAATGGAAAACGTATACCCGAGCAAGTGGGAAGACATTCGGCCGGGTGTGGCGACGTCGACCTTGGCGTCGAAAGTGGCTGTCAAGTCAGAGTTGCCAGCGGCGACGTCAAAGCGAACGAAAGCCTCGATTGCTCGCCGACCAACGCTATCCCACACAGCACCGTCCGCGGTACATACCCCGACAGCCCAACAAGCTCTCGAGCACCAACTCAAAGCAGCGCTCAAGGCAATGCAATCTGAAATGGCCGCGTTGAAAATCCAGCTCCAATGCACTGTGGTTGAACGAGATGGGCTGCAGACGAGATGGGCGCGAGTGAGTGGTGTACCACATGCGAATCCGAACCACTTGAAGCGTAGGCATTGGCAGATCCAGCTGCCTTGACAAGTCAAATCCAAGCGCAGCACGTTCAAGTAGCCACCTCTGTCGCCGAGAGAGATGAATTCGCGCAGCAATGCGCGTCGCTTCAGCAAAGTGTTGTCGCCGCCCAAGCTGAAACCGACTCGCATCGGAAAAAGCTGATGGCGGTTCAAATCGAACTCCATCACGCCAAGGTATGGTGATTTGGTCTTAACCTCATGAAATGATAGCTCACATGCTGTGCAAGGCAAAGTGCAGCGTGGCCGAGGGCAAAGCGGAAGCGCTGACGAAAGGAAAGGCGGAAGCCATGGCGAAGCTCGAGGTCACCAAAGGAACGGTAATGAGGCTGCAATCTAGCGTTGACCATGCCAAGGAGAAAATCCATAAACTTGAAGTCGAAATCGCATCGCTGCGACACAAACGCGCGGCGGATGCGCAAGCGTTAACCCGAACTGTCGACCAAATGCGTCAACATGCCACAATCGCGATGGAGAAGGCGACAGCGCAGTGGACGGCGGAGCTTGCGGCGAAAGATGCGTCCGTGCAGTCTCACGTGGACAAAACGAAGCGACTGGCAGATGATGCGAACGCGATGTTGCATCGTCGAAATCAAGCTCTCGAGGCAAAACTCACCGAGGCCAAGAACCGCATCGCAGTGCTCGAGACTCAAGTGCGCCCTGTGCAGCTCCTAACCAAGCGCGTAAAAGCACTCGAGGCCGTCCACCACGAAAACAAGCGACTGCAGCAGGAACTGACTACAGCGCATCGAGATGCCGCCGCCGCCAAGCACACGCGCTCGAAGACCAAGCCAGCGCAGGATGCATTCGACATCTTGCTGGCATCGCCTACGATACTAAGCAACCAGTCCCAGCACTCCCCATCCAAATCAGCCGACAATGAAGCGTTGAAGAGCGAAGTGGGGAGGTACCAAAACGTGAACTAACATGATCGCTCGAGTTTGCCATGCTGTAGGCTTTTGGAAAAGCTCCGACAACAAGAGCAGCAATTAGTACAGCTACGGGTGCTCCATTCGCAGGAATTGCAAGCCCAAGCAACAATGTTCCAGGCGCACGTGGCTCGAGCCACCTCAGTTTTAAAGTAACACAGTTGAACGCAGCAAGTTTCGACGGCAGGTGGTGTAGGTCAGATCTGGAGTCGCCCGCTCCCCACTTTCCATTCCTTCCATCACGAACACAGGCACATTAAACGTACAGCACATAAGCCATGGATGCACGAACTTGCTGTAGCGTCATCGTAAGTACTGAATGAGGCAACGGCGTAGATGTGACATCGAGGGAAGGGAACCCCCGATGCCAAATTTAGCTCAGGCAATACCATGTCCGATGCCCCTCGCCCCCTTCACCAGCTGCTTCACACGACCCACGAGTACTCCAGCCGCGCCCAACACGATGGGACGTGTCAAGCCTTATCGCGGTAGGCCATTCCTGTGCCAGGTGGAAATGAACGGGGTCGCCAGGTATGGCCAACTTTTGCTGCTGAACAATCAGGTGGAAGAGGCTTCGCGATACTTTGACGCGTCCTTTGCGCACTGCCCCCACCACTCCGACGAGAACCTTCGCGGACACGACGCGTGCATCAACACGCTCGGTGTGACGTTTGTCCAGCTTTTACTTCCCTCTTGACCGTCTCCATTGAACAGCGCACTTCGCGTTCTTCGTCGAACAACATCGCCAGAGCCTCGACCAGGCCAAACTTCTCTACGAACGAGTGCTGGCAAACCACCCAGCCCACCCCCATGCCTTGGGCAATTATGCCATGCTGCTGCATAAACTAGACCCCGCCAATTCGGCACTTGTCGACAAGTACGCCACGTCATGCGCTTGCCAGTCCTTACCAACTCACTTGTATCACTATGCAGAGCATACACCAATGCGATTGCCCAGTTCCCGACCCATGGAACCGTGCTATGCAAGTATGCAGGCTGGCTCGTGCAGCAAAACAGGGTCGCTGACGCCGAGCGGTTCTTTGATCAAGCGGCGAAAATGAGCCCCACAAGCCCTGACATGTACCATCCCGACGCCATGCATGAATTGCCAAAGCCAAGCACGATGTGTGTGTGTGTGGTAGCTTGGGGAACGTTGCCACGTTTTTGCATGCAATCAAGCAGGACCACCAGGTGCAACTTGCCCTCGTCGCACAGACCATTCATTCTCTCGTACACACGACAGGCCGCCGACCTCCGATACCGCGAAGCGCTCGATTTGGACCCCCATCACGCAAACAACTTGGGCAACTACGCGTTTTTCCTCGGGTCCGTGTGCCGCAACCCCAAAGAAGCTGAGGTGTACTACAAGCAGTCGCTTACGTGCAATCGCAAGCACGCGAGCAATTGGTTCAATGTGCGGCTTTCAAACGAGACAGTCATGACGATGCGCTTACCATTCGGTCGTAGTACGGCATGCTGCTGTGGCGGGAGCTCCATAACACGGAGGACGTGCGTGCATGCGTACGCACCAGTGGCCGCTGACGCGGTGGGCTCTCTAGGCAGCGCAATGCTTCAAGCACGCGTTGGCACTGGAGCCGCAGCACGCACTGGCTGCGTTGAACTACGCTCGGATGCTCGATGCCGAGTGTGGACAAGCTGCTCTGGCCGATGTCGTACGGCAACTTTTTATTTTCTCGACTTGACGTGCGCTGCAGTACTTTGGACAAGCGATCGCCGCAGACGACCAAAACAGCGACGCTTGCATGGATTATGCGAGCTTTCTCTTCCGGGAACGGGTACTACGAAGCGTTCGCTCGCATTGGATGGCGTTCATGCCATGCGCGGACGTAGCGACCACTTGAAGCCGAACGAATGTACCAGCGAGCACATGTGCTGGCCCCAACCAACACCAAAGCCACGTACAATTTGGCCAAGGTGCTCCTGCTTCACATGGAAAGCCCAAGCTACGACATCAACCGGAGTGCTGCCGACCATCACCAAGTTGAAGGGGTACTCGAACGCGTCTACCAACGAACCCGAGTCGACCTAGTGGACCGACGTAGCTGTTTCAAGATTTGGTGCAGCTCGCGCCCCGACACACGTCGGTCGTGGCAGACATCGCGGCCCACATTGCCAAGATCTTATGTTGCGCCCCTTCCGACGTGTACGACAAAGCGGATTCGGTCCCTGTGCTTTCCGTGAAGGTTTCGGTACGATCTAGGAGGTTGCGCACGGGAAGAAAGGGCCAACGACGGGCGTGACTAGGTTGCCAAGGGTTTGTTCCATGAGGAAGTCGAACACAACGCCGCGAAAGCTGAAGCATGCTACAAGCGAGTAGGTGGCAAACGATCGAAATGTGATGATGGGAGATTCATGGTGGGCACAGGCGCTATTTCTCGACAAGACTGACGCCGACGCCGTGACAGCATACGCCAAGGTTGAATTTGTCCATTGAATTGCATGGTTGGGGTGGACAGTAGCTGAGACTCGTCCTGGTAGTTCCTAGCCCAGGTCAAGCGGGATCGCAAAGGTGCTGACACGGTGATTCGAAGAGCCGTCTCAGCCATCGAGTGCGACGCTGCGGTACAATACACCGACAGCGAACGTCTCGCTGTCAAATTCAAGTTGCTCGCATTGCTTCGAAAGGACTCGATCGTTGCTTGCCGTGACCAAAGTGAGTCGTCACGCCATCCAGGATTGTAAACGATCAACATGTGGAGCCAAAGTTTGGGGCAAGCCTTGAACCAAAACGAGCACTCTTGCCGCCGTGCTCATCTAAATATAACCATCCCCATCGTCCTTGCAATGCTTTTCCATTCTCACCAGTATCCGCTGACCGCAATGAGTATGCGCCAACTGGTTCGTTCGCTGCAGAGAGTCCATGCCACCTACACACGACGGGGGTCCACCACTCGACGCCACCCCGTTCTGGTCAGTATCTCTCGCCATCGCCATCATGGGACACTGTGCGGCGCGCTTGCTGTGGGCATCGTAACTGCGTGGCTAAGTCCAGTCCACAACGACTCCATCGTTCCAACCACCTCAGCACACCAAGGCACGTCGGCTTCATTCGACGACGACTACGACGTAGGAGCTGCACGGACATTAGGCGCTGGGGCATTTGGCACTGTCGTGCGATGCACCCACCGAGCCACCAAGACGCAGGCGGCAGTCAAGGTACCGGTCGAATCGTGATACCAACCACGTCTGGATCCGTCATGGAATTAGATTGTCATGGACTGCTTCGATGAAGCCGAGCGCGAAAAGATCGCCCTCACGTGCGTCGCGGCGGCGGGTGGCCACGTCAACATCGTTCGTCTCAACGAGTTCTACCATCACGGTGGCCACCACTACCTCGTCGTCGACTTTGTTCCAGGGTCGACGCTCTTTGACCATGTGCGGCAGCGCAGCAAACTGACTGAGGAGGTACGTCAACACGCGTAGATGCGTACGGCTGACCTTTCATGCATGGCTAGAGCGTCCGTGACATTCTACGTCAGGTAGTGTCGGCGATTGCCTTCTTGCACGCGTTGGGGATGGTGCATTGCGATCTAAAGCCCGACAACATCATGATTACCCCCGTCGAGGCGTCGGGAGGGGGGCATGCCGTGACATTGATCGACTTTGGCTCAGCTACCATTCCGAATCCGACGTCCAGTACACTGCCTGTCGACGCGACTGTGCTTGCCCAGGCACCTCCGTCTGGGACCAAGTCCTACTCGTCGCCAGAGATGTGTGTTCATGAAAACAGACAAGTCGCGCCTCACGTCGACATGTGGTCCGTTGGGTGCATCCTCTACATCATGCTGTGCGGCCAACATCCATTCGACCCCCGCGGCAACCTCACCGAAGCCCAAGTGACCCACAACATCTTGAACCATCCTGTGACGTTCGACCAACCCATTTGGGCCACGATTTCGCCGTGCATGAAGGAGATTGTAGCAGCTCTGCTGGAGAAGGACCCGGAGAAGCGCATGACAGCCGACATGTTGTCCAAGGAGTTGCGCAAGCTCGACAACGACAACGGAGGCGCTCGTTTTCCTCAGTAACCACGTTAGTAGTGCTTTTTAATCAGTTTCATTGGACATTATTTTTTCCCTGAGCCAATGAAAGCGCTGATATGGACTCCTTTATAACCAATCAACTATCCATATGATACCTGAAACTCCCACAGGAGGGGGTTTCGATCGTTACATGCCCAGTTCCGCAGAGGATTTTTCGCCCCCTCGGCAACGACTTGGACGGACCGCGATCGAAGCAGCACGATGAGCGAACTCACTGCGGGCAACGCCGAAGAAGAGCACTACTATGGCATGAGTAACCAGTACCAGCTCTCGTTCTTCTTCTCGCTCTTCCTCATTGTCCTCATGACGTCGATCGTCGTGAGCAACTACTGTGCTCATCACCTCCACTGGCACTTTCTCCCCGAAGCAGGAGGTACGCCCATCCCTCGAAAAAAGGATATCGTTCATTATGGTGCTTTTAGCGACGATCCTCGTCGGTGCATTGGGCGGTGTGTTGTGTTACGTGTACAACAACAGCATCACGCACTCGGTACTGCCATCCCTACTTGCTCCATCGAGATTCCTCACGACATTGCGCAGCTCATGATTTTTGATCCAAACACATTCTTCATTGCGTTGCTTCCTCCGATCATCTTCAACTCGGGTATGCCCCTTTGTCGACCCTAACGACTGAAGTCTCTCGTCGTTGATCAGGGTACACCATGAAGCGCCGGTACTTTTTTGACAACATCGTGCCCATCGTCACATACGCCGTGGCGGGCACAACCATCTCGAGCGTCACGGTCGGGTTAATCATGTACGCCGTCGGGCAGCTCGCGTTCAGCATCAAGTTGTCGCTCGCTGAGGCGTTGTCGTTCGGTGCACTCATCAGTGCCACGGTAACTTTCCATCACATTTCAATCCGTTTTCGTCATGTTTCTTCACTAGGACACTGTGTCGGTGCTCGCGATCTTCCAAGAACTGCGTGTCGATCCCAAGTTGTTTTACCTCGTCTTTGGGGAGAGTTCGCTGAACGACGCGGTCGCGATCGTGCTGTTCGGGACGTTTTCCAAGTTTATCGGGAACGTGTACTCGTCCGCGTACTTGCCGATTGCGATATTGGACTTTATCTTGATCTTCGTCGGGTCGACGTTGATCGGAATTCTCTTTGGCGTGCTCTCGGCTCTCCTCTTCAAGCACTTTGACTTCAAGGGGTGTTTGTACCACGAAGTACATTGCAACCATGCAGCGATTCGCGCTAGTTTACGATGCTTGACGGGTAGATGGGCGTCTACATGATGTTTGCGTACCTGCCATTCCTCATCGCGGCAATCTTCGACCTGTCCGGTGTCGTCGCGATCTTGTTTACAGGTACAACGGGAACGCTGCGCACGCGATCGTCGCCCGCGACGCCTCGATTGTCCATGGCCTGATCTTGTGCGATTAGGCGTGACGATGAAGCACTACACGAGCAACAACTTAAGCGACGAGGGCAAGGAAATGTGAGTGGACGCGTTTGCAACGACGCATGACGATCGGATCACCGCAGGTGTGGCCGCATGTTCAATGCGATTTCGTATGTGTCGGAAACCACCATCTTCCTCAGTACGTACTCGTGCACTGGTGAGTTGTGCCCGACTCTGACGTGGCTATGAAGATTTGGGGCTCGCTGTGTTTGCACTGCAAGTGGGCTACCACGTCAAGTTTATCGTTTGGGCGCTCGTGGCGTGCTTGGCCGGGCGTGCGGCGTTTGTGTTTCCGCTGTCGTACTTGATCAATTTTCGCCGCGACGAAGAGCGCAAGGTGCCCAAGAACCAGCAGGTCATGATCTGGTTCAGCGGGTTCCGCGGCGCGCTGTGCTTTGCCCTGGCGTTGGAGTGGCCCAACGACAAGCGAAGTGTACGAGTGCCCATGTCTCAGGGTGATTTTGATGGTCCGCATGCGGTCTCTGTAGCAAGTGATCGCGACCACGATGGTCGTCGTGCTTGCGACGCTCTTTGTCGGCGGGGGTCTCACCGTTCCCATGCTCAAGTACTTGAAGATCAAGCAGCTAACGGTACAGCTTGAAAATTCCGCCGTTCGCGTGGCCCCACACACTGACCATTCGACGTGCACACAGCCTGCAGAAGAAATCGAACTCGACCAGAACGTGGTTCCGATCAAACGGATGAAAGCGCTCCAGTTCGACGCCAAGTACTGGGTTCCCTTCTTCACGCACATGCATCCCGACACAGGGTCGTTCCACGGCGCCGACCCGATCCAAGACTCGGAAGAAGACACGTCCAAGGATGCATTGCGCCCCGAGTACGACGACAGCGACGACGGCGACTTTGCCACGATCAACGTCTCGAATTCGTCGGTGCAGCATTGACGAAAGACCCCAGTCGGAAGAGCTCGTCCGCCGTCAATATTACGATTGTTCATGTTGTTTTGAAACTCGCGTGCATGCTACTATGCGACTTGGTTGGCGGCGAATGTCGACGTGGGTGGTCGATACGTCCAAAGCGGCGCCGTCGATTCGATACCGGAGGAGCTGCAGCTCCCTGCGTCGCACGCAACTGTCGGCGCGCCCCACTCGCAATGCGTCTTTAACTTGAATATCTTTTCAAACTCGATCTGAGCGTCGTCGGTGGTGGCGTCGTACGGCCCTTTCAGCGCGCATGCAACCTTTCCGTTGTGGCTGCACCACCGCGTCCACACGTACTGCTCGTGAGTTTCTGGCAGCATGAGCCACTGCAGGATGTACTTTTTGTCGGGAATCGTTCCTTGCTGGAGCTGTACGCCACGGACGAGCCTCGCGGTCGGCTTTCCAAGTGTCGGGTCCACAGTTATGTGGAAGTCAACGTCGTCATTTCTTTCGCGTGGCGTGGTTGTCGACGCAGGTGATGGCTGCACCAAGGGGGCGTCGACCGCTTGATTCGACACTGCGGGCTCTCGCATTTTGTGCATCCTTCTTCGGCATTGCATGCCGCGAAGTCGCGCTTGGACGATGGTGGCAGCCCATTGCCGTTGGAACAGTCGAACAGACATGTGATGCCGCACAGCGCGCTGGACGACAATTGCAGCGGCGTTCCGCTTGGCGGCCACCAAATCCTCTTGGACTTGATTCACGCGATGGAACAAATCTAAACTTGTGCCGCATGGAAGCTGGTCATGCCACGGAAGCCCCACGAGCCAATCCAACCAAGCTTTTACCATGGAAAACTGTGTGCTCGATGGGTCGACGGATTCCAGGGCTGCGATTTCCGCCTCGACCGTCGCCACGACATCGGAAGGCATGCCAGCAGTCTCGAGTTTACTTCGGTAGGTCTGGATCAGGATGGCCATCGATAGTTGTGATGGCAAAACACCGGTCGAAGGAGCCGCGAGGAGCCCAACGACTTGGTCCAAGAGGCGCCGTACACCTGGCAATGCATACCACTGCAGCGACGATTCAAAATACGACTTGGCCAGCGCATACTGTTTGGCTCGCATGCACTTGCGGCCGAGGTCCCTGGCCAAGGCAGCTTCTTGTGCTCGTTCCATGTCTGATTTGGGCTTGGTCTCGTTGGCAACCAACGGATCCGTCACAACGTCAGCTGCAGTCGAATCGCGTACTGTTGATATCGCCGCAGGACCCCCTTGCAAGATTTGCAGGACGGACGTGAGCTGGCACTGCATGTGGTGGATCATGCGCTGCTGAGTGTCGACCGTTCGCCGCAGTTCCTGGGTCACCGCGGCCGCTTCGGTCTTTGCCATGTGCACCACCTGCTGCAAACTCGCTTGCATGCGACTCCATTCGTGTGGCCACGACGCAGCCAGGCTTCGATGGACAGCAACTTCCCGTCGCAAATACAGCACTTCGACATCTCGACGAACGGAATTGGACCGAATGCGGTCCAAAATCAGCGGCGGCGCGCTGTCGTCACCCGACGCCTTTGTGTCCATCATGTTCGCTCCATGGCGTAGCAATTGCTCCACCACATGGAGCTCAGCCTTGACCGCCGCAAGAGTCGACGAGCTGGTCGCGTCGCTTGACACTAGATTCATGCGATCGCAAACATAATGCATGGGGGTCCAACCCTTGTGATCCATAACGTTCACATCGGCTCCGGCAGCCATCAGGTACATGGCGCAGTCCCCATGGCCATACCGACAGGCCACATGCAGCGGAGTTCGCCCGCTCTTGTTGATACCGTTAACGCCATGGAACACGTACTTGCCGCTGGCGTCCGTTGTTGCGGTGGCCGTGAGGAGTACCTCCATGCACTCAGTACTGCCAGCAAAACACGCCATATGCAGCGGTGTGCTACCGCCTTCGTTGACGGCCAGTGTGTGCGCGGCGGCCGACACGAGCTCCTGAACACAGTCGACACTTGGCGCCATGCACGCGTAATGAAGCGGCGTTTGAGAGCCCAAGTCTAGAGCATCGACGTGGGCACCAGCGGCGAGGAGGAGCTGCACCGCGGCAACGGATCCGCCGATGCACGCGTGGTGCAGCGCTGACACGTTGTACGCGTCAGCCAGTCGAGGGGAGTTGGAGGATGATCCGGGTTGACTTAGAAGGGACTGCAGATTCGAAGTATTGCCGCTGCGAGCGGCCTGCAACAGTGGCGGCAATGTAGACTCGGGTGGAGGACTCCACAACGAGTACGCCGTCGAGGGGTTTGCGAGGAGGATGCCTGCGGCCGCGCCTTCTAGGCACACAATGCCCACATTCTCGGGGGAATGGGTCGACACATGCTGGGCTACGGCGTACGGAAGCATCACGGCCGGGATCGCGATGTGGTCGACAGCCATTTGGTCAACACTCATCACGAACGCCGATGTGGGGTTGGCCACGTCATTGTTGGCGACAATGACTGCGATAGCTCCGGCCTGCTGGAGCCTTTCGATCTTTTCAGGGAACGTGCACCCTCCACGTTCGACAAGTGCAATGGCGCCGGCAAACTCTGGTTTGTTGGTCAGCGTGGGATGGGCGGTGCGGGGAGCGGCAGTGACAAGTCGGCTTCGAAAGTACAACTTCTTGCGCTGCCGAAAGCCAAAGTCGGCAAGCGGGGCAAATTGAACGTGATATTCGTCGGCGGACGTCGCGTAGAGAACAAAGGCAAACACTGGTGGGAGCGGGGGAATAGGTAGCGTTGATGCAGCATCCAACGACGAGGAGATACGAGGCGTTTGAGGACATGAAGCGGACGATGGAGCCAAAAAGTGCACGATCTCGGGGTCCTTTGTGTACTACACATGCACCAATCAGTGTCAACGCAGGGCTCGGAAATGGAGTCGCACGGTACCCCTTCCACGCTTCTTTTCACGACGTCTACACCCGCTTGGACAACTTCGTTTGTGTGCTCGACAGTCTTCTTGACGGCTTCGACCCCTGCTTGCAAGAAGGACTACGTCGGCATTGACAAGTCAGCATGTAGCAACTTGCAACAGATCGATCAGAGCCGTACTTTAGGTGGTTCGTGCTTGACTTCTAAGACTGCGTGAATCCCGTCGCGAAGCGACTTGCCCAGAACTTGGCCGACCATGAGCACTGGAATGTCGACGCCATCACCTTCTCGATCAAAAGCTTCTCCCATTCGCACGAGTTCCTCGCTCGAGTTTATGAGAATCATACCAATTGCACCCGCAGCTTGAATGCTTTTCGCTTTGGCGGCGAACGAGCAATCGCCACGCTGGACTGCAGCAATGCGACCTCGCAAAGCGGATGTGTTTTGAATGGACGGAAAAGCTGTTGCAGGGACGACGTGCACCAACGACCCACTGTATGTATGCGGGGCGTGAGCCCCAAACGTCGCGACGGGGGCTGGAATCTGCCGCTTCGCTCCAGCTAGCGTGACGTGGATGTACGCTAGAACTGACATGGACGAAGATGGATTCAAGAGTGCCGAGCGCCCGCCGTCGAGCGTGGTCAAATCTTCCCTTTTTCAAGCGTCCTCGTGTTTCGATCTTTCGAAGACCTTCGTTCGATTGGCTGAATTCTATCCAATTATATTCCACAGGAGGACATTTCACACTTGTGAAGTAAGCAAGAAGCAGAGGAATGCATGGACTTGGTTGTGGGCACAAAGGCAGTGAGTGACAAGTACATGGGCCGCGGTGCCAAGTGCGCCTATGACAGTAATGGAGGAACACTTGGTCAGACTGTATCTCGTTGTGTGCGATGTCCAATGCAGATTGAGCGAGTCTACAAGTCCTTCTCGTTTTGCTCCGTGGTTTCTCCATCTGCTCCAGTATGTCGCCTATGCCGGACGTGGATATGTCGTAGGGCATTGCCATGGTCTTCTTCTCGGTAGGCCCTTGTCGCTGTGATGTGCGCTTGAGCTTGTCCAAGTGCGGAGCGAGTCTCCAGGCCCAGAGGAATAGGTCCAAGTGATAAAGTGATAAGAAGAGGTCGCCCTCCATCCAAAAATCGACGTGGCAATCGACGGGTTGTACCTCTCCGATCGGCAGCATTTATGGTGTCGCGTACACAGTGAATCCCGACAAGTCTTGCCCCATACGTTGCATGAGCTCTTTCAAATCAGTGAGCAGTCAAGGTTATCTATCACATATCGCCAAGATATCACCAGCTCAATCCAAACCACAGCTTGGTGTGTTGAAAACACGTACGATTCAACTTCCCACACAGCAGCAAACGTGCCAGGGACTAAAGTCATCCTTTGGTACAGCGTCCCTTCTTGCACAAGTGCCAACAGATCTCTTGTCCGAGGGCACCTCACGGACCCACGTATCGATTGTTCCAGTACGTTGGATAGATACTGGTATCTCGAATGACCCCCGTTGAGTTCACATCTGCTTGCCCCACCTCCAAGTGGACATATTCGTGATCGCAACTGCCGGCGGCACTCGCCAGAAGACCTGCAAACACTCGTAGCGTAATTTGTTTGATCTCGAAAAATCGGAATTGGCCAGCCAAGCCACACGTGGGTAAAGACGCATCTAGTTGGCGTCACCGTGAAGAACGGCGCACTGCGTGCGAATGTCATAACTGCGCTCCCTGTGCATGGCTTCGCAAAGGGAAGACAGGTCGATACCATGCAACGTCCGCAAGCACGTGTGCTCGGCGCGTGCTGAGGGACGAGGCCGCGGCTTGGCATACAGTGAACAAACGCCAGCGCCGCGCTCCTCTCTTTGTAGAAAGCTCCCTGCACCCAATAGGCGGAGCGCCCGACGAAGCGGTCGAGCCCACTTCGCTGACTATTCGTGCATTGCCTTGGGCACTACATCTTCCATGTCCCTGCATGAATTTGCTGTACACGGCTGACGAGGATGCCACTCGTTTCGTCCACGTCGGGGAGCGCTCCTGCGTGGTCGATAGAGTTGGTTTGTGATCGCGCGACACAAAGCAGGCTGCACCTACATGTCTACCCAAGGCTTAGGTCGCATGGTGCCCAACAGCATGACGACAGCACGGAAAGTCCAAAGAGCTTGTTCACCTTTAACCCAATCACCGCCTCGTGCGCCGCGTTCGCAGCATTTCACTGTCATCGGCACCAATACCATGCCATAATCGTGCAAACAGGCCACGATGTCTCGAAACAGCCAATTCACCACACGTCAAGCGCCTCGGAATGGAACATGATGAGAGTGTGCTAGACTGCCAAGTAGCGAGGTTTCAAGAGCGTGCTTTCCTATTGCCATGCTGGACTACAAAGCAGTACGCCGTTCCGTTTGATTGACTGAGTGTTGTGCGTATCAACACTGGGCCATTGACCTCGACCGCGTGGAGCCATGGTAGCCTCTGCCGTCAGGTGTTTTAGAAAGAGCTCCCCAACGTGTAACTCGTGCACTTCTCGTGAGGTTCCTCGAACAAGACGGAGCAACGTCGATGCAGCAGCGTCATATGGCGCTGCTATGTCGCAATGCTGTTGCGCGCAGCCGACCACAACATACGCCCTCATTTATGTTGCTCGCTGTGGTGGGCTAATCGACCGCAGCCCTGGTTCCCTGTAGGCAAGAGCTCAACAACGGTCCCGTCAACGTGGCCGACACACTCGCCTGTAGTGGCGTGTAACTCACGAGGGAAGCTTCGAAGGCGATCGAACGAAGTGGCCGCACGTGGCCCCTCGCCCCTCCAAGTTGGATTGCCTAATGACTACCGACGTCAGGACGATTCCAGCGATGTTCTTTCCGGATAAACCAAAGTATCCGGTCGTTTTGGTGCAGCGCTGGGGCGCTGCAGCCACCGAGATCGGAGTTATCCGGATATTGCCGCCAAAGTCGTTTCGATTTTGGTGACCAATGGCCCAGTTGAACTAGGTGGCCAATCGCATGGCCCGAATAAATCAATTCGGGCGAAATATGGAACGAAGAAAAGGAATTATCCGGATGACCACATATATCCAAGAGTTCTTCAACTTCCCAGTCAGTTCTCGAAATCATCAAGGAGATCGGTCGTCCCAACGTCGACCGCGCCTTGATACCTATTCCGCACACGATATGCCGCCAACGCACGTCTCGATTGGACGCGCAGCTATGGACCGGGACCTACTTTACGAGGTCTTGCGTGTCTACCTCGAAGGCGAAGAAATGAAGGCCGAGTTTGCACGCACAGGTCTGACCTTGGGTCTTGGCACGATGGAAGAACCGTCGCCGGCTGCCACGTGCAGAGACCGCTGTTGGATGCGAGACACCCTCAATCCTGACGTGCCATACTTTGGCTTCGACAAAGTCGTCGAACGATTGCACGACCCACGTAAGAAACCACCCCAAATGCCACTTCAAACCAACAAGCGGAAGTGCTGGTTCTGCAAAGCCAGACTCGGCTTGACCCCGGTATCGTGCAAGTGCGGCTACACGTTCTGTCAATCTCATCGATACCCTGAAACCCACCACTGTGCCTTTGACTACAAGCGCGAAAACAAACGCAAGCTTGAGCTGCTCAACCCCGCCCTTCGCCCCGACAAGCTCGTGCGCGTCTGAGTGCATCACTTCCATTCGTAGCTCTCGCCATCGTGTGCCACGATCCAACTTCTTCACGACTTCAACGACGACCCCTACCAGCCACAACGACGCAGTGTGGCTGTCCCATTGTCCCTGCATTGCCTTTATTTATTGCCGTGCCCTCCCGCTCTATATTATTGCGAGCAGTGTCTACAAGTGGAATGGACTCTGCCCTTTGTGCCCTATGTGACGCTAATACCACATATCCTGTTATTGCTACAGTGTCCGTTTAGCTTTGGATGGACCTCGACTGACGTGTCCGCGCGAAGTTCGTCACGCTGCTGAGCATTATTGCTAGCTTTTCACATAGCCACATGGCGTTTGACAGTTTTATCACCATGTCGCACCCAAGTTTATCTCCACACGATGCCGCCGTCGCCATCTCTCCCGCCGCCAACCTCGGCAGTGCCAAATGACTGGACTGGTTGTCGGTTTCTCCGCAGTCGCGCGTCGCGCATTTCGATTGGCTGTCGCAAGAGCATCTGACTGAGGACCCCTCCTTTTTCACCAATCAAAACGCTTCAAATATCTGGGATTTAACATCTCGTCCAATCAGGATCGATGCTTCACGTACTCCTCGCCGAATAATCTTCTTGGACGATTATTCGGCGAGGAGTACGTATCCGGACACGCGACAGTCAGTCTTGACTGGTGTTCAAACATCATCGCAATTGCACAATGTTTGCCCGTGTGCTGGCGCGCTCGTCGTGGGCGGCACCAACCCTACTGCGACCTACTGCTACGTCATCATGGATGCTTGGCAGTACCCAAGAACGCTCGATGGCCAAACTGAGTGAGCGTGCGTTGCGCCGCAAGCAGCTCCGTGAAAGCAAGAAGAAGGCGACTCGCATCCCTCCGATCAAGGAAACTTTGCGCAAGCTGTACCTCCGCACGCACCCCGACTTGTTTGGGCAATTCCCGAAAGAACAACACACCAACACCGAATCGTACAAAGAACTCATGGGTATTTTGGACGCGATCTCCAACGTCCGTGGGGAATTTCCACCTGCCAAGACGCTTGCCCTGCCGTTCTACCTGACCACCGGCACACCCGGTCAATTCAAACATGTTACGCTGCATCTCAAAACTACCGGTGGTGCGTGCAACACGCTCATGGAGACACAGCTGGGCAAGTTCTTCGAGGAGTGCGGTTGGGAGCCGTTGTTCGAGTGGAACAAGGGATCCTGGGGGCTCACCACTACGGCGGTGCTTCCACCTGACGACACGTACGAGCGCGAAGAAGCCGTGCCGCAGCGGGCGCCAGAACCGGAGGTCGCACCGGCGTTCCGCGAACAGCCTAAATCGAGCCAGCCTGACGAATCCAAGATGGAAACTCTGCTGCGAGAGCTGAACGATGTCCTGGAAGTGATTGCGGCCGTGCCGTACTTTGCCCACGAAGAAGAGGGCGAATACAAGGACATTTACGAGCTGTACACGACGGAAGACGAAAACGTGGTCAACGGGCTCAAAGAAATCGAGCGCCGTGGGGGGTACAACATCATTCCGTCCACGCACATGATCTGGGAAGGTGAACGCGATGTGGCCAAGTTGATTCAGGGCTTGGATGTGGATTCTGCGCTCATCGTACAACGCATTCTCATGCATGCGATCGCGATCGACAAGAAGGTCGACGACTTTGTCCAAGCCGAGAAGGCCAAGATGGCACGTGGTGAATCGAGCGACGACGAGGAAGACAGCGATGACGAAGATAGCGACAACGTGAAGGAGGCAGAAGCGAAGAGGTCTGAGTAAATGCCATTCAATATTTGGTGGAGGTTGGATGCGCGCGACCCGTGGTCTTGTCTATGAGTTACTCGTGGTAGATGACGAGACCTGCATTCCGAATATGCAGCGAGCTTTTATTCGAACGACGTGCATTCTTTGCGGATTTAAAATACATTCACCCCGGCACAGGTTTGAGGTGCTTGATTCACCCGACGGTGGGCACCAACATGACTTGTGTTTTGTATGCCAATGTAGTTAGATAGTATACAAAAATATAATCCAGTGTGCTTGTCTTAATACAAATTTCAAGTGATTGGGCCTCTATTTTTAACTGTGGCGTTAAAACCTGTGTTGGCCGCGTGCCGTGCAACTCGCGTTATTCAACTTCAAGAAAGGTGGGGGGAGGGGCACGTCATGAGTAGTGTCCGAGACAACGCAGAGGCGACAGCCATGGGACGAGAAGACTTGACCTCGTACAAGCTCACGAACGGGCTCTACATCGACCCGAACGAGAGCGAAGAGGACGACGACAGCCACGGCGGGTCGTCGATTCAACCCCACGGCAACGCCTTCGCCAGAAAAATGTCACGTTCCGTGTCGTCGCCGAACATTGGACCCAAGTCTGTCTTGTCCCCAACGACTCCGCACGTGGTGGCGCCACTCAGGCTGGATGAGCACCCAGACATTGACACAATCGCTCCTTCTGCTGTCGCGTTGAAGATGCAACCTACCAGCCCCATGAACAACCTCCCGGATGCCATCATGGCTGCTTTTAATAAGCTGTCACCTTCGATGATGCCTTTGTCACCCTCCTCCGAGCGAAAGCTCAGTAGCCCCATGTACGTCGGAGATACCAACGTTGTGTACGCGATGTATATTTGAACTCCCCACGTTTTCAACAAGCATGCTTCACGAGCGGTCGATTTCTGCAGATGCCCGCAACGCAGTGTGTACATCAATTCGCCCTTGGCGCCACCTCCATTCGCAAGCTTGACTATCTGCGAAAACTGTAAAGGTACTGATGTCACCCCTCGTCGGTCTGTTTAATGCAAACGTGCGTGGCGCAGTGGAAGTCGGCACCCTGCTCAGCAAGCCCAGGCACCACTGTCGCAACTGCGGAGGGACGTTTTGCCAAGCATGCTCGACCAAATCAAGCGTCATTCCGTACGAAGCTTTGGTACGCTTGAACCAAGTCTATACAGTGTCCACATACACAACTGCATGAAGGCGTGTGCCGTGTAGATGTCCAAGGGAGAGTTTCGAGTGTGCGACTGCTGTTTCCTCAAAATACGAGAGTTCCAAAGCCAGAGCGGCACAACTCAATGCTCGTGGAATGGCCTGAGCCCTCTGGCGGACTCGGCCTTCCTCGCCACGTTTGGTTTCCCAGACGTGCAGGTACGAACGGCCCCTCGTAACGTGCATGGTGAAATATGGTTGACGTGAGGCACATGTTGCAGACTCCCGTTGTGATTGTGAGCTGCTGCTACTTTCCCGATTGCGTGCCGTACTATGGCCACATGTACCTCACCCGGGAGCACGTTTGCTTTTTCGTACGGAGTCCGTGTGAGCAAGGCTGCAAGTGAAAACGATGTTAGGCGTACAAATCGACCCTGGACCCCATTTGCATTCCATATGAAGACGTCGCCGCGGTCGTCAAGCCCGAATTTTACTTTATCAATGCCTTGCAGCTCAAGTCGAGCGACAGGTCGTGGTTCTTTGCCGAATTTAATGGCCACCGGTACGGACGTTCGTCTCATCATCGTCTCCGTTGTAGCTCTGACGCCGGTGGCATTCGCTTCGTTTTGAACTTTGAATGGACATTGCCTGCAACTGCATAACCATAGTGTGACCAGGCTGACCTTGATTCTGGTCAGGGACATGGCGTATAGTCGGCTCGACCAGCTTCTTTCCGCCCATCGACAGCAATACAAAGGTATGCCTGTCTACCACCAGTGCCTCGTTATTTCTTCGCATCTTTTTGCGATGGGGTCGCTACAGCTACTCATGCGTACTGTTGTTGGTATTTTTGACATAGAAAGCGACCACACACCGGAATCGCTGAAGGAAATGGCATCGCAGCGACGCCAATCGTATTTGAATTCGAACCAACGCAAAAACATGTACCCCGCGATCACCACGCACGACGCACTCGATTGAACGCGTCGCTGCGTAGTGTTGTTCGGGAAGATGACGATTTTGTTCCCCTGCCGCCAGATGAAACATTGAGTACCTACTGGTCCCTTTGAGCATTTGGTTTGACCCGGGATGTAGGCAAAATGACGAAAATCCTGGACACTGAGCTACAAAGCGACGTCAATCAATTGTACGACTCGCTCTTTTCCGACGACCATGGCCACGACTTCTACGAGCGCGTGATGGTTTCGACAAAGGACATGGACATTTCGATTGGAGGTGTGCTCCACTAAGACAACATCTCTGATTAAACACATTGTAGCATGGCAACCCATCGCGCAATGCCCTGCAGACGCCATGTCGTCGCTGTGTGTGTCGAAGGAACGGATGACTCATTTCCGCAAGGTCGAGTCCAAGCACCCACCCAAAGTAACGTTTCCAGGCTTGCCGCCCTATGCCGAGTGCACACGATATCAATTGTGTCGCCACGATCAACAGCCGGGTGCACGCGTGTGGACGCGATTTGTGCTGGCCGAGACGCTTCGAATGAAGAAGATTCCGTACGCCGACTACTTTGAGATCGAGACGCGATGGGTGTTTACGCTGGACGGCAACAAGTTTTGCCACGCCGAGGTGATGGACAGTTTGGACCTGCGCGACAACTGATCGACGGTCGTACGTGCGCAGGTCGGGATCATCGTGCACTTTATCAAGTCGACGTGGTTCAACAACCAGATCATTTCGTCGACGATCTCAGAATCCAAAGAAGCGTTTGAAACATGGTAGAGATGACAACGTTTTTTCCACCACCGAGTCGTCTGACGATGGAACACCAGGGCGAACGCTGCAGTTGCGGAACTTCGTCAAAAGGGTTCTGTCGCGGCAGCGACACCCCCCAAGTGCACGGCGGCCACCGATAAATCGTTCGAAACCAAGCCAACGCAACGCACGTCCAATGCTATTGCGTCAGTCACCAACAGCCAACCACAACATGTTGCCACCACCTCTGCCATGTCTTCGTCGGTTTTCAACACGATTGCTCAAGGCGTGCGCCAGCAACCCTTGTGGGCATTTACAATCATGATATGCTTCTACATGCTCTACTCTCTGCATACCGTGCATTCGGCGATGCGACTCGCCCTGCAACGATCGACTCAAGTCGAGGAACGACTTTTTCAGTTGACTTCAGCGACCAGAACAGACGAGGTACCTGCGCATCGGTCCATTCGCTTGCCACATCTCACAACACTCTTTTGAATTCGAACTAGATCGAAGCTGTGGTGGCCACAACCTTGAAACAGCTCCAATTATGCACTTCTCCACGCTCCTAGAGGCTCTGGAGCTATAAAGTCAACCAACATAGACCCGACCGCACGTTTTTTCATGCGGATGGCGCATCACCCACACGATTTTGGCACATTGAGCGGTGAGGTCCAAAAGTCGACAAAACCGCCGTCGCAACGTTGAAACGGCCATCCCAAGAGGCAACCCGCGTCGCCAAAGACATGGACGAATCGGTGTGGGAGTCGATGCTGATGCGGTTCTCGCCGCAACAAATCCTGTGCGCTTCCTTCGCTGGCATTTTCGTACTCACGCTGGCATTTGCGTACGTCGTTGTCGACCCGACTTTGTCCACGCGCCCGTACAAGAACCTGTCGGTCCAATACACTGCTTGGTACGATAACGTGACGCCCGAGATTGCGACACACTGGATGATCACATCGAGTGGTCTCATAGCTTTGACGACTCGACGTACACCCCTCCAAAGGACGACGAGCTCATCAAACGATGCTCGCTGCGCGACATTGACCGAGAAATTCACCTGTCGCAAACCCAAGATACGCACGCAACGTCGTCCCTCCATCGACGTAAGCACGGTATGGCTTGGTTACGCCACGGGACCATCATCACATCATACACATCACGTATGCATCGCCCAGGCACGACGGCGACGCATCCAACATCCTCTCGATCGACGGATGCTTATGTGTGTGATACGTTCAAGAACCGGTCGGCGGACTGTTCGCATCTCCTCAAGCAAGTAGCAGGTATCGACGTTGGAGCTTGGGTTCATGCAGAAAACGTGGCACTCAGTCGTGGAGATGTAGATCGATTCGAAGCAGGAAACGAAGACGAGATCAAAGCTCCCCTCCAGACCATGCACGATATCTTGACCTATTTCAAGGCGCCCCCGACGCGAGATATCAACCAAGTTAGCATCTTTTGCAAAGCGCTCGTCAAGCACGACGGCCTGGACCTGCTCCAAACGCTGGTGCAAACGTCGGCCGACCCTGTAAGCCTCGTCATCTCTGGCATCGACCTAGCTCATACTACGTGCTCGAAGGACGTGCAAGCAATTGCCCAGGCCATCATCGAAGAGGCCGTGCCGTCTATCTGGTGCTAGGCCTCCTGGTCACCTTGTGCTAGGAGCATTGATATATACATGCCGTTCATTCCATCGATCACGGCGGCCGTCTCAATGACTCAGCCACACAAAGGTTCAGTCGTCGAATGTGCCAAACGTGCTCGGGACAAATGTCAGCCCTTCTTTTTCGAGCGCTTCCAAAACTCTATTTTCATCGCCATGTCCATGAGTCGATCATGGCTCTTTCCACGTACGTGACAAACTGGTGGCCAGTCAGCTTCACAGCGCGAGCGTCGAGAAGGTCTAGCGATGCCAGGGTGGCCAGCACGATCTCTTTGGTCACGTCCGCTGGATCCTTCCCGCTCGCGACGTCCTTGGCAATACGCAGGAATGGCGCGGCGAACTTGGATGTGAGCAGCGCGCGAAGAGTTTTGTTTTTGCGCTGAAACGCAATTCGTAAAAAGGTATCGAGGCGCTACGACAGCGACAAGTGTTGATTGCTCAGACATGGATCGTTCACGACAATCCTTTGGACGATGGCTGGGTTGCGTACCGCCAGGTCGTGCACAGGCGGTTGATCATCGTGCAATGTGATCTTAATGACGCGTGAATCCACTAGCCGACAGGTGTCAGTCGAGCCAAGTTCAGTCTCTCCAGCACAACTCTCGACCACAAGCGTTAAGGGGAGCAGTAGAAGCATCAGGGAGCACCCATGACATTGCCAGCAATGCCAGTGTGACAATACCTTTTGGTGGCGGCACGAAATTTTTGCGGGGTACCTTCACCACGGACGTCACTTCGGCCTGGAACGACGTGTTGACGGACAAACGACTATAGTTCTTCGTCCCAGGTCTACATCATGCACGACATGCGGCTTCGTCACGGCGATGACGAAGTGGGTGAACCGTACGTTGCCATGAGGCGCAGGGCGAACTCTTCCTGGACCATGAGGACGGCACCGCGGAAGCGAGGGTGGGGCGACTTGCCAAGTAGCTGACCGACCACTGGCGACGAAATGTTGTACGGAATGTTGGCCACACACATATCAAATTTGGGCAACGACTTCATGGACATCTTGGCGAAATCGCCATGGACAATCTTGAGTCGGGCGGCCGCGATTTCTGCCGCGAAACGCTCTTCCAGCTGCGAGATCATGCGGTGATCGTACTCGACCTGGTTCACAAAACGGATGAGATCCAGACAATCATGGAGCAGCGTTCGTACACATGTAACTCGTTTCGCGATGCCAAGCAGCAGCAACGTGAGATTGCCGGTCCCAGGACCAACTTCTAAAATGTGGTCGGACTTTTGAATTTCCGCCGCGTCGACGATGGATTGCAGCACTGACGTGTTCACCAGAAGATGTTGACCAAGCGACCGCTTCAGCGACGGCGTGTTCTCCACGCGCACAGTGGATACAGTGGCAAAATCGCAAACACTCAGCGCTGGGCGGCGCGCAATCGCGGCGCTGGGCACTCGCAAGCACGATCGAAGCAGCATTGCGATTGCTGCAGTTCAAGCACCAATGAGGTGGTGTGCCTTATTCAGTCTATTTTTCCCATGCGGACACCACTGTATGGGCATCATCGTGTCTTATTTAAGATAATAACCATGCAAGCGAATGTCGCCCCTTCGAGACCTCGCCCTGATCGCAGCTCGCTTCATCTTGGCAACCGGCCAGCACTACACGCGAGTGGAACGACCACGCCATGCAGAACAGCAAAAGTAAAGCTCATGGAGTGTATTCCTTGTCGGCCCAGAATCTGGCGGTGCTGCAGGTCGCGGCAACTTGAATCCACGCAATGACTTTGGCAATCCACACACTCCACTGCATGTGATCACACCGACGTTGTCTTTGACCAAGTCTAGGCGACGCTGGGGTGGCTTCTTGAATGCTACCACGCGAAGCCCGTGGTATGGCGGCTATCGCTCGCACGGCGATGGGCTCATCGTCGTTTGTGGCACTACAATCACTTTCTGAATTTGTCGGATAATTGCTACGTCATCCGGATAATCTTTTGTGTGTCGTCAGGTGCCGCAACGCCACGGCCACGTCAACATGATCAACATCATGAAGCGCTTTGTCGAGTCGTCGGTGAATCAAGCGGTATCCGATGATGCACCGACTACTGATGATGCTACTGCTATGGGAATGTCCGGTGAATCAGGAGTGTCCTTGCCTCCATCCTCGATCGATCCGCCTCAGTCGACGGAACGCCCAACTCCACGTGTCGGAGGTGTAGCCCCTGCTCCGACTTCTCGAGAACGCACCCCATCATCCACCGTGACACTGCGTCGATCTGTTCCTAAAGCTGACTTGGTGATGGCAATCGAGCGATTTCAGTACGCCATGTTGTTGGCTGAGAGAAAGACGGCCGTCGGTCAGCTGCAGAAGTTGTGGGCCGATGCAGACATTCCGGACGAAGCCCACCGGCTAATCATTCCGGTCATTTTGAACGCACTCGTCACGGATCCGCGGGACACTGAGCTTATGGAAGCAATGCTCGAGCTCATGCAGTCAATCGTCACAGTCAATCCGTCGAATGCGACCTTCTTGCTTCAAGGTGATCCATCCCTTTGCAATTCCCTCGATGATTCACCCTTTCACATAACTCTGTAGAACCGCATGCTCTCGACACAATCCTGGGGCTCATGCAAGACCCTTCGCCGTGGATTCGTGGCCCAACCGTTCAGCTCATTAAGCGAGTACAGGACGGCGACTCGTCCAGCTTTGCCACGCACATTTTGGCATGCCAAGAAGGGTGCTGTGAGCGTTTGACGTTAACTTGCATCTTCACGCGTGCAGTGTAGGTTGCGTTTGTTGCTTGAAGTCGTCGAAGACAAGCGCGAACATATTCGAGACACGGCGGTCCAGGTAGCGCTGTCGTCGGCCGTCGTTGCTTCGCATGGACTGACATGTTTGACCACCGTCGTTGTGTTGTTGATAGATTTTACTCAGCATGACGCTCAATCAAACGCCAATGACGTTGCGCCACGTGCAGCAGTTCCTCGCGTTCGAAGATGGCTTCACGCGGCTGTTTCAGATCGTCGACTTGGAATTGGATGGGTGTGTGTGTGCTCGATCCCTGGGTTGCTGTCGCTCGTGTCAAACTTGTTGTTTCGTCCATTCGTGCCATGAAAATTCCCTTTGGCTGACGACGCCATGCTCTAGACACGGCATGGAAAGCGCCGTCCTCGCCGACAGCCTCCACGTGATTCTCAACATGGTGCGAAATAACACGATGACGCAGTCGTTGCTGCGAGAAACGCCGTTCATCCCAGTCCTGTTCCCGCTCCTGCTGGAAGCTGGTCTCCCGCCATCGCCGTCCGATCAACGTGCCGACCACGACGACGCCATGTCGAGCGAGCCTGCAGGTGCCGCTGGTCTCGACAGCGCGCTTGAGATCCTGGCGAGTGTAGTTGGACCGGTCTTTGCAAATGTAAGCGACTCCATTCAGCTCCTGCGGCGACCCCTTCTCCTATTTCACTGGGTTTCTAGACTCCGCCAGAAGAACTCGATGAAATTGCACGACGCGACCAAACCAAACGGCACGACGAGCGTGGGGCTGTGCAAGCACACTTGGCTGCCTTGCCCGAAGTAGTCCAGGCCGTGGGCGAAGTCGCCTGCCGAGGAGTCTCCCTGGCCGATCGCAAACACGCCATACAGGTTCAGTCCAAGCAACGCATCGATCGTTGGTCGCTATGCCAGAAAGCTTGCTTCGTAGCTCGTGGGATTACTACTTTTTGTGTTGTGTTTGTGGTTTGTCGAATCCTGCCTGAATGCGATGGAGCAGGTGCTGCACCTGCTCTGCGACGAAAACGATGCCAACCAAGTCATGGCGCTCACGCTGACGTCGATGACGGGACCGACGCCGATGTACGTGCTCAGCATGTGCTTGGCGCTGGATGTCCACCATGAAGAAACACCCCTCGGCGGTACTGCTACCCTCAGATCGATGGAATCCAGTGCTTCAACAAATTCTAACGATTGCGTTTGCACAGCGAGCGCGCGAACTCTTCTCGACAACGTGTGGTACAACGATTTGGCCAAAATCTCCATCTTGCAACACATCCACGTCCCTCCGCCCCATGAAGTAAGCAATTCCTCAAGCACCCTTCACATGGAGATTCAAAAACACGTGCATCACAGGCCGGCGCAATCGAACCAGTCGGCCAAGCTCTCATCAAGAGAATGGCGACTACACTAGGCACGTCGTCGACTATATGTTCATCGACACGCATGCGGCGGTGGTCATGATCGTGGTGTAGATGCGCTGGTGGCGCAATCGACAGCTGCATTGTCGCTGACGCCCAAAGATGCCGCCAAAATCGTTTGGAAATGTTGTGCACGATGGCGCAGCTTGGTGCGGAAACGACAGATCGCCATGACGTTGTTGGTCATGGAAAGTTGTTGCGATAGTTGCACAACAACGAGTGTAAGCTACTGGCGCTACGAGTACCGGCGCCGCATGCGACCCACGCCGTTAGTGGCAGCTGCTTCTTGACCGCGTGTGTGAAGTGGGTTGTCGATATGCCGCGCACAAAAGCGCACTACCCCGTTTTGGTCGGTCTCTTTCGCCTCGTGCTTGGATGGGTCCACGGATGTGGCCCTGCCATTCAAGAAATCGTGACGAGTATTCCTACCCTCACCTTTCTGTGCCAAAACATCGACAAGCTGCCAGCGAACAACGCGACAAGCGACCAAATCGAGGTGCCTATCCAGTCATCGATGGCCGCTGGCAACGACGATCGCATGGTATCTGTGTCGTAGGTGGAACTTGCTGGACTGTCGGCGATGATGCTGGGAGTGTGTCTCGATGGGCTTGACGGCAAAGTACGTGAACTTCGTGGCAAGCTGCATGACGCACGTCCGATGAATGGCGCGTCGCCCTATGTACTCGACGAAAGGGACATGACGGACGGAGCGGTGGTGGTGTTTTTGGTAGAGTCCCGTGCCACTGACAAAAGAACAAGTGCTCGGGTGGATCACGCGCCAAGTGGGCCTTCAAAAATTCACCGACGCGTTTGGGCACATGCAGCAACTGTCGACCTTTCAGAGTACGTCCGAGAAAACATTTGAAGCAAGTTGTTGTGACTCGCAGTCGACGGTAGATTCGTCGACGCGGACGGGCGCCGATGGAGTCGCTGCCGTCTACGACAAGACATTTGTGCAATGGTTTAAGCACGTTGCAGGTTGTCGAGCGATTCACGATCGCGGTGTGGTGGATTCCGATCGTGTTTGTAGACACCACACGAGTGGGCATTCTCAACGTGTATATGGGTGCTGCATCGTCTGGCGGAACGGTCGGCGACGACAGTCGATCCAGGGCGTACCAAGACTTGATTCGCATGCAAGACCAGCAGCTGCATGCGCTACAAGAACAGGTCAGGCACCTCACGACCGGTGGGGCTCCTGCGCCATCGTCGCTGGACGCTCTTGAGAACGAACTGGCAAGCGCTCGCACCTTCATTGCGGACCTCAAGCAAGCTCAAGATCACAACGAGTCGCGGATTCGAGGCCTCGCCGCGGCCAACGACCTCGTCGAGCGTGAGCTTCAGCGCAAAGAGGCAGAGCTCAAGACGTTTCTTCAATCGGCCAAGCCGCCGTCTTCGTCGACGCTACCTGCATCGTCTTCGGCATCGTTGAACGATCGTGCATGGCCGGAGGAACACCAACTACGGATGGACCAGCTCGAGAACGACCTGCGTCGACTGCAGCGGCAATTGCAGGACAAAGACGACGAGTTGGACGGTGCTCGCCACACGATTGAGTTGCTTTCGGTGCATCAATCCATCGTCTCTACGGCCCACGTCCCCACGCGTGACCAAAGTGTTCAAGTTGATGGCCCCGGTACGTTTCTCCGCCAGAGTCTCTGCTCGCTGACACTGACATGTGCATTTAGACGAAACTGTGCTCGTCCACCAACGAGTGGCGACGTTGGAGAGAGAGCTGCAGGAAGCGCATGACATGCACCGCGCGACCGTGTCGACTTTGGTGGCTAGACACGAACAGGCCGCGAAGGAGTGGGAGAGCGACGCAAGTGCGAAACTGAACCAAGTGCGTGCGTGCGCGACCGAGTCGTCGACCTCCCTCGACAAAAGCACTTGTTCATGGTGTGACGTAGGCTTTGCAAGCACAGGCCGCTCGCCTCGACGCGCAACACCAAGCGCAAGTGGACGAGTGGAATGTCACTCGCGTACGAATCTCTCCATGGCAACGAACGAACCACATCGACCATGAATGCACACCCATGCTGTGTGATGGGTAGATGAAGCAAGAGTCGCAACTGAATCGGCTGCAGAACGTATTCGAGCAGCTTCAGAACGAAAGCGCGGTACGGCTCGATCTCGGTTGTACAACACTGCATGCGGGCCATGGGCGGACCTAAAGCGGACTACGCGCGTGTTGTAGAAGATGCTGCAGTTGGAAGCTGAAGTGAACCGCCTCCAGGCCGCCAACCAAGCGCAGGTACGTGTTGACTGTCGCAATTGCCGCGGGAGGGTGACGGTGCCCTCTTTTAGATGGAGAGTGTGGCAAGTGCATCCGAAACAGAGCAAGATGTGTTGATGCTCCTTGGCAGCTTGGTTTGTTTCCATCGTCGTGTGCATCTGCCGCGAACTCACAGGTTTTGGCCATGGAAAACGCGATAGGAGATTCAATGCCGCAGTTTCCGAGACGTGCTCGAGCAAGTGCTTGGCCCCGAAGGCGTCAACAAGGCGCTCAAACTCAGCCAAGACCGTGGCGCCGTCAATCTTTTCGCGCGTGACTATAAATAATGACTTGCGTTGACCCCTCCAGTGGCTCATGCCATCACTCCAATCCACTTCATTCGTCCGACGAAGCAACAGCCAACTTGGCCTGGGCCATGTTGAGCTTGTCGACGTAAATTTCGTAGCGCTCCTTGGCCACCTACACAACCGCAACATACTGTTGACGCATGAACGAGTGAGATGTGCGATTCACCTGATCTCGTTCCGCCTGCAGTGCCGCCTCCAGCTGCTCCAGCGCGTGGAGCTTAAGCTGAATGTGCTGCATTTGACACTGTACCAAGTCGCTCATGAGCCCCTTCACCACGCCATCTTCGTACTTGGCAATGCCCTTTTTTACGTCAACACAGTCCACCGTGAATACAGCTGCATCCCAGATCCAACCAAACTTTTGATGGCCATGACGTGACCTAGTCAAAGACTGCGTATTACCTGCGCCTTGGCGGCCAACACCCCCACAGCAGTAGCAGCAGTCGTCTGGGCTTTCGCTGCCTCGTCATGTGTTGACGTCCCCGGCTCGTTCTTGACTATTTCCGGCACATTTTGACAACAGCCATCGTCTCGATGGATCGATCAGCTAAAACGTACCCACCGTCATGCCCGCAGCTGTTGCCGCCTTGACCAGCGCTTGAGCACCAGCCTCATGTCCCTACGAAAGGAGTAAGTCTCGGTCCCCGCTGAGCTTGTCGAGACTGTCGAGTGTGAATGAAAATGGCAGGTACAGTGTGCTGCATCCCTCCAACTCAACACGACACTCGACAAAAGCCATCGAGGCCGCACGACCATGTCCGTTTACGGGGCTGGGCCATTGCTTACCTTGTTTGCGTTCGCCGCCGCTGTCGATGACGTTAGTTGTTGCTGGCTGGGGAGATTTAATTCGTCCAGTTGCGCCACCGCAGCGTTCGCCGCAGCTTTTGCCAGCGTTGGGTCGGCGCTAGCCACAATGGAGGCCAAGTCCGGCACGGCTGTCACATGGGGATAATCTGCCATGCCTTCGCCACGGCGAGTCGCCGCCACTGGTGTCGGAGTTTGAGGTTCCAGAGGTGTCTTTAAAAACTGCGCAATGCACTCCTTGGCAGGTCGACCAACTGCTTGCGCCACGTCGTTCCAGTCCACCTGTTGCGACGTGTCCAACTTGTTGAGGGTGTTGAGGAGACAAAGCTTCTCGTCCGTCGTCCACGGTGTCGCCGACACGGGGAAAAGCGCAATGAAGTCGGACGGGTCCAGATGGGACGGAAACTTGCGGCTTACGAAACAAGCGGCGCACACACCCGAGCCAGGTCGGACCCCCCACGCGTCCAGCTTGCGCAGAGGCATGCCATGCTGCACGAGCCGTTCTTTCCGTTTGGCTTCTGGAGTCAGCTCAAATTCGACCGGTTTGGCCAAGGGACACGACTCGCACACGAATTGCGATGCCAGCTACATCGCCACAGCAACATTTCAATCACGAGAGATGGAAATGCTATGGAGGCGCAAACACACCACAGGAGCGATCGATGTGCCGGGCGAACGTGGCTCCAACTCAAATGATGTCGGGGTTGGCACTTGCGGTGGCGGCGCAGCATGCGCGGGAACGTGATAGTTGATTAATCCCCAGTGCATGAGGAACTCGTGGACACGAAGGATGGCACACGCGTCACCGGCGAGGTTGCGGCGGCATGCGGTGGCGGTCAAGTACATGTGGGGCGCTGCCCTGGACGTGTTGACCATGTAGTTGCGGTATGCCATGTACACCTACAACAGAAATCGTCACGGTGCTATTGACGGCATTCGAACAACGATAAACTAGAGTTCGTGCATATGCAACGATTGAGGGAATTGTCGGTACGTACGGTGGGAGTCTTGGCCTTGTTATTTTGAAAGAACTCTGGGAGCATCCGTTTCTCAATCGGGTGAATCGAATGCAGTGAGAACCATCGACTGCAACTGGGCATGACCACAGACGGCTGGTCGACGGTGTGCACCGTCGTGGCTTTGAGGGGAGGCGCCGGCGCAGGGGAGAGATGACCGTACAGGACGCACGAGTCTTCTTCCGCCTGGATGGGAGCGTCAACAGCAGTGGTTGTGGCAGCGTTCTGGAGGAGCATTGCTACGACTGTGGCCGCGTCGCCTTGAAGCCGCTTGAGAATGGAAGTATCTACACGTGGCTTTTTCGCCGGAGGTAGGCCATGGGACGTGTTCGTCTGCAGATATCAGGACAGTAAGATTCGGATGCGACGAAAGGCGTGGCACGAACCTGTGGAGAAGGAACGACGAAATCCAATGGGTTAACCCACATGGGTCCAAACTCTGCGACGGCGCTTTGAAAGTCCGATGACACGACGAGTGATGGCGACGCGAGCGCTTGAATCGAGTCGATGGAGGAAGTTTGGTCGGACGCTGCGAGTTCTGTTCGCTTGATAAAGCTGTCGTATGCATCGGGAAGACCGATCCAGTGCACGACGAAGCAATCTCCAAGGGTCCCAACGACACGATAGCCTTGAAATATATCAGTAAGAGTGATCATGAAATTGTAGCCACGGTCGTACCATTCTTGTGCTCGATGTGGTGTTGCGTCGTATTGAGATTACTCCGATTCAGCACCGTTTCCACGGAAGCATCATGCGCCATCGAGGCAGCTTTGCGCACATATTCGACGATCTTTGTGGGAGAAAGTGGACATTGTTGCAGCAATGGGACTACATACGTCTTCAACAACATTTCATCGCGGAAGAATACTCCGGGGAGGACGCCAGTGCGCCATACATCCACCAGCGCGTTCAGCTGTTCTGGGGTCATGCCCTGAAAGGCAGAGGAAATACATGCGCGGAATCCTGTATCCGATCGCTCTTGCCCGAGCGTTGGGCGCACGAGCGTCGCCTTGGACGTCGTCGAGTTGGGCATCGGTAACTTGCTGGTGCTGCTGCCGCTCAAATCGCGGGGGAATCACGTATTAGTAGTTTGAATTGATATTCATTTATACGTCGAGAGAAATTCATTTATTAATTGGTTTATCTATATTTACGTAAGGACAAGTAACCGTCGACGTTGTCGAACAGGCGACGGCAACTAAGCTCGTCGGTTCCGCTCGGCGCTCTTTGTATACCGGCTTCAAATGAGACGCTACATGCTCTGGTACATGTTGGTGTGGCAGGGAGAAGTCGAAGGATTCGCTCGACGTGCTCTCCAACCTTCTCTATCGACAACGTGTTGAGAGATCTCCAGGATCCATCACGCAACAAGCGCAATGTTGCTTCGAGTGAGATGGGCTTGCCTTCATTCAGCAACAGGTAAAAGCATGCCCCTAACCGTGTGTGTATGTCAAAAATGGGAGAATAGCTTGCGTCGAGGACCGCGGGCTGTGTAACCGAATTGAAACCGGAACGCACATGCCGCCCAAGTGGGCATGGACACCAGTCCCTCCATCGCAAGTGAGCCCACTTTGGCAGATTGCCCCCGACGCAATCAAGCCCATCACGTTGTTTTCAGTCAAATTCAAGCAGCTTGCGTCGTTCGAGTCGTTGCAATTGTCGTACGTTCTGAACCATGAACGCCGTTCAACTCCACGTAGAACACCACAAGGATCTGCACCGCCGACGCCGCTTCCATTCCCATTAGCGACGGTTGTCGTTGTCGATGGCTCCATCAACCGCATGCGGAGTCTTCGCGGCATCGAAGCCTTTCCCAACGTTCGAGAACTGCTCCTGTCGCTCAACCAGGTATTCCCTTCAATGGACAGCACCTTCCATCTCCGCACTTGTATAGCTCTCTACACTGCCATCTCTCCACCACCTCGAGCTCCTGCGAGTGCTGCATGTCGGAAATAATTACCTGACGGTGCCACGGACCTTCTCGACCGATGCTCATGAACTTCCATGTGTTGTAGTCGCTGTCGTGGATTTGGCATCCCAATGTGCTCGTGCATTTGAATGTCAGTGGCAACGAGATCACTACCTTGGACGGCATCGCAGTTTGTAGCGGCAATTTGCAAATCCTCAACGTGAGCGAGAATAAGCTGGCTTCGCTGGACGGGGTCCAGCACTTGATCCAGTACGTACGTTGCCACAACACAAAGCCTTTCGCCTGGTGGGCCTGCTCTCGAGTCCTTGAGCTCGACTAGTCCGGTCCCCGTGGTTGGTTCTATGTGCTGTTAACCTGCGTCGAGCAGCCTGCGCGAGCTTTGGGCCCAAGCCAACCACATTCAAGACGCGGGAGTAGCTCATGCCATGCCACTTAGCCGCTTGCAAATCCTGTCGTTGGGGCAAAATCAGTTGGCGAATCTGGACGCGGTACGCCCGATGAGTTCTTTCCCAGACTGGAAGGATGGCGTAGGTAGCACATGTCGTCATGACGCTGCCTTCCTTGGAGAATATCAGCTTTCTCGACAACCCAGTGACCCAGTGTGAAGCGTATCGGATGCGGCTGTGTCAGCATCCTGGTTTACGCGTCGTCGACAGCAAAACGGTGCAAATGCGTGGACCGTTTGGCTGGAATCGTGTGGATGGTCATGCGGTACATGTGCTGGGCCGACTGTAGATCACTGTAGCCATGCGGCAGAGCTTTGACCGCCTGCGAAACATGAAGGACGTCGACAAGTTGGTGGAGCACACGACAATCGAAGTACGTGGCGTTTGTCAGCCAGCATTGGTGGGCGGTTGGTTGACTCCTTCGTAGTACCTCGCCCACATCGACGCTCAGAAGCACGTCCTGGACGAAGGCATCCGCGTCCACCGCGCAAGAGAACAAAGAATGTTCGATGCATATACCCGCTACAAGCACAGCACAGAAGTAGGTTGAACCTCGAGTTGGGGGAACGACGTTTTAATTCCCCCTTCATGGCATCATGTCTCGTAGCGAGAGCTGGAAGACTGCGTGCAATTCGCACACGTGCTGACGACCCGGAATCGGTACTCGATTCGTTTGTTCAGCAAGCTCAGAGTTGCGCAGGACGGGGTACTTAATGTCGAATGCAGGGCTTGAGGTGAGCGTCCCTTTTGAAAAAATGGCCAACGCCTGTTCTGAAGGAGTGGAAGCGCCAGCTACAGAAGCTACAAGCGTCGTCAGCATGCCCTGCCACAAACGGCCCGAGTCTAGAGCGGCGGCCACCAGCGCCTTCGTTGGCTTTGCAACACGAAGCTCCGCATACTTGGAGAAATGTCAAAGCCATCGAGCTGAGCCAACGAGAGGGTGAAGGACGCGTGACAGCAACGACGGCATCTTTGTACGAACCAGTTCAGCACGTACTTGGGGCATGACGAATGCATTCCAGGCCCACGTCGGCGCATTATCGTCGCAAGCAAGTGGAGCAGGATAACAGGGTCGAAGCAGCACTCGCCTTGGCCAACGTACACCCAAAAGACTACATCGGCGGTGGCAAATGTGTCACACAACGGCGGCAATGTTGTAGGAGTTGAAGGTCGATGCCGTGCCAGAGATGCAGGCGGCAGTCCATCGATTGCGCTCAAAACACCAAACCGTTGTGCACGAAAGAGAGACCGCAGCGACTGCAATTCAAACGGCGTGGCGTCGGCGACGTCAGGCACGCACAGCGCGTACACAGAAGCCAATTGGAAGCGTTGCCGCAGTAGTCGCTGAAGCAGCTGCAACTGCAGCCCCCCATAGATTTAAATTTTCCCTCTGGCGACGGAGTAAGCGGTAACACTACAACGAACGAGTTACAACCACGTGTTCGCATGGGTGGTGCGAGATGCCTGCGATCGATGGTTGGCAGCCTCGCCGACACGCTTGGCACGACACTATCAAGCAAGTGCTCGGAGATAGTTGCGGTGACACGCTGTTGAAACTCGAAAAGTACACTGCTGCGTGATTAAACCATGCTTTCCTCTGGCTTTGGTCGTGACCTGGGCGACAGTACGGCCAGTGGTCGAGGCAGACTCGGCAGGAAGCTCCACAGCTTGTACCTATTTCATCAAAGTAAACGGTTTGATCGTCGTGCGAGTGCGCCACCTGCACGGTCCAAACACGTGCTCCCAATTCGCGTGAGCACTGCCCCTGTCATACGGCGACACGACTCGCCCTCCGTTTTTCCGCATTGCTGCTTTGGATCGGTTGATTTGGTACTCAATCGAGGTCTGGCGGGATGGATGCATGGCGTGAGGTGACCGATCGACGATTGCCAACGTTTTGAGATACCTGGGCCGTCACGATCAAGTAGAGATGCCACGTCGTGAGGAAGGCTAGGAGGATGCCCGACGACGTCGTGATGAGAAAAAGCGCGTACATGGAAGCTTGTGGGCCGAGCAACAACATGTTAGTGCTCAGAACATGCGCCATCTAGCATTATTTCAGCACCGTCAACCATGAGCGAAACGCGTACTTCAGACAGCTCCATCTTGCTCACTCGGCCGACGGCCGGCGAGAAGCTGAGGACTGAGCAATACCAGCACGCAATCGTGATCCAGACGAGGAACCTGCTAAAGTACTGTTCCAAATGGTCAACTAGCCGAATGCGGAGGTAGAACAATGCACCCGGGTGTTGTTGGCGCCGACGCAGTTGTTGAGCCAAGGGCAGTGGTGGTCCATCTGGTCGACACAGGCGTTGCAAATGGAGCAATGGTGCGCGCGGTCCGGTCGCGTTATTTTGCACGTACGGCAAAACGACGTCCACTTTTGTTTGTCGGACAAGGGCGGAATGAGGGGGTCGATCGTGACCACATTTTCGTCGGCATCGTCGTCCGACTCGTCGTGGTTGAATTCCATCACGTCTTCGAGGCGGCGAATCGGCACAACACCCTGCATTGTGAATGCCGTGAGATGCTTCATCGGTTGCTTCGTACCGGGTTTGTGATCAAGCACAAGATGTAATTGTACATGATGTTGACGACCATGACGGCGCACGCGCCGCGATATGCATGTGCCTGATGGAACGGCATATGACTCTCGTCCTGCCATTCATCCATCCAAACACGAGACGTACACCGTGCGGAGTGCTTGCGATTGCGGGCGACACATAACGTATGAACACCGTGGCGCAAAAGGAGATCAACGCTACGACGACGATTCGATCGATTGCCATCATACGTTCACAAAATCGTCTATCTTACCGGACGCCATGGACACAAAGAGGAAGCCGCCACGTCGCATCATCAAAATACCACACCGGGTTGATGCATATGCCACGTAGAACACGTACTGGAAGCATCCATTCGAGCACGCCGGCATCCCCGCTTCGTTGTGGGAGTTCTTGCAGCAAACGATTCAGCCAATTAGATTACGAAAAACAATTGTATTTCGACCAATCCAATGTCAAGTTGAATTTCGCAGAATTCCGCGTTCGCCATGGGGTTTCGAGGTTCACGCCCGACGAGGACATGTCGTTGCATGGGGCGAGGGTAGGATTCTTTGCGCGAGCTCTCTCGATGATGTGCTCGTAATCGCACTCTGCATACACATCTAGCGAGCTCGATATATATCTCAAAAACTCCGACGCCTTCCTTAGCTAACCCCCCGACTTCCACTCGCAATGCCATTCCAGAATTGTATGCATGTTTTTCTGTTTTTCATGCGCAATTCATCCAAGCAACACGCGGAAGTCCACTGTGCTCAACGCAAGGTACGCGGTTGCCAGGAGTGACGCTACTGTCATTCAACACCACAAGCCAGAAGAGTCTTGCCACGTGAGGTGTGCTGCTGCACGTTGCATGCCATCACTGGCGCAGCTGTGCCTCAGCGTGAACGCAGAGTGTGCGAAGGGGACGCATTGTCCTGTCGGGGCCATCTTTCATTGCCGAGAATCGCCAGGATGAAAACAAATTCGTGGCTATCAAATGGTCTTTATGCTTTTGTAAACGTGTACATGCAGTACGCGTCTTCCATTTCGTTGAAATGCAAGTCGAACAAACGCGAGGCATTCGTGCCGACGAGGGGGTTCACTTTGAACGCGTCGGGCACGACCTCGGCGTGGAGCTTGAACCCGCGCGCGTCCATGGCTTCGTTGAACTCGACGAGGGAGTCGCGCTGCGTGGACGCGACGTGGAGAAACCGTCCACCAGGAGCCAAAATCGCATCGACGACTTGGGCCAAGATGGGAGCGATCGCCTTGTGGTAGACCAAATCGCTCCCCATGACAACGTCGTACGCTCCTCGGGGGCCATACGTGTTGGGCTTTGCCCAGTCGATAGCTTGAACTTCAAGTGTCTTCTTGGTGGTCGAGGGAGGGGAGATTTGCCACTGCTTACACGGCCCTTTGTGGTCTTTCCATGCAGCCTTTTGACAGTCTCGCGAGCAGTAGGCAGCGACGCGGCATCGACCGCACAGAAGCAGCTTGCCTTCGGGGTTCTCAGCCGTGAAGCGCTGGAGTGTGCCGCACTCGTGGCAGCCTGTTACTTCGTTCTTGGACCCTTCCACGCGGTTCAACGCGGCGTTGTGATGCAAGTTGTCCACCGTGTGCTGGTACAGATCGGACAGGACAACACTGCCGGCAGCCGTGTACAAATATGTTGCGATGCCCGAGACCCCACACCCCGCGCCGAGTTCGCAAACCGCTTTGCCCGCGAAAAATGCGGCATCGGCGAGGACCCATCGACTCAAGATGAGCGACGCTGACCATACGCTCACACCTGTAATGTCTTCTTCGGCCGTCGATTCAAACGCAGACTTGTCCATGTCCAGGGCCTGCAGCAACGCCGATTGTTACGACGTTTGCACTCGCGACGACATGAAGACAGGAAGAAGTTCCTCAAGAGTCAGACTGGAAAGCACTTGCAAAGAGGATGCACGCCGCATACAGCCAAGGATAAACAAGATGAACGACAAGCACATCCTGGAAAGATGGAATGGGCCAGCGTACGAGTTCACGAGCGCGGAGCGTCGGTTGAATGCCGAAGTCGAATTCTAGCACGGTTTCTTGGATGATGCAGGGCTCTTTCTTGTACGAAGCGTCCTTTGTGTCGTCTTGATCTTCGTCTTCAATCGTGATCTTGGAATTCCCCGAGGCGAGTCCTGAACCAGCCGCGAGTTTCTCGTCGGACGCCGACGAGTGTTCGAGCAACGCCGCCACTGCAAGCATGGATGGTGAGAAATAACATGGGGATGCAAAGCAAACGAGTTGCGGGACGTACCAATGTCGGTGTTTTCAGCCTGAAAGGCTTCCGTGACGCATCCACGGCCAAATGCATTGCGAGCGAGCACGTCGATGCTGTCGCCAAAGTGGGACAACAGGAGCTTCACAACTTCCAAGTGCTTGTTTTGCACTGCCCAGTCTAGAATGCAACAAACAGGTCAATCCGTGAAGGCACTCGAGACTTTGAATCGTTGTACGAAGTGGAGAATTGCCGCTGGCGTTAGGCATGTGCTTGGCACCATGGTTCAGCAAGACATGAACACAAGCGATGTGGCCATTCGCACATGCCATGTGCAGTGCTGAGTTGCCAGAGTGCTCGTCCATGAAGTTGATCGTTTCGACAGATGCATTCGCGCACAGCTTTTGCAGGTCATCCGCGTCGCCGAAGCGCGCCGCCGCCAGCAATTGAGCGCCAAGGTCTCCGTTCATCTCGTACAAGAGGTGATTGATTGGCCCGACT